TGCACTCCATCACTCCCTGCATTTAAAAAGAAATTTGTTTACCATAAAGTCTGTTCCTGTTAGCGATTCCTTGTACTGCTGGTAGGTTTTGCATGGGTTTCAGGCCGTAATTTTGTCGGCTTTTATGGTGTAGGTCCGTACAAGACCTTGCTGCTGTGAATATGGTCAGTATTGTGACTCTCAGAGGTAGAGAGAGAGAGAAGAGAGATCTTGTGTCAGTAACGGTAACCTGTATGTAGTGACAGCTTAACAACCAGCTAATGGAATTGCAATGGATGATGGTGTTGCCAGATTCTTTTTCTCTTGGTTAAGGGTTGAAGCTCTCTGTTCGTTGCATTGAGATTCATGCATATGAAGAAATTTGCTAATTTTGAGAAAATTAATTTTCTCAATATTTTTGCCACACTCGCTGAAGGGTGTTGCAGTTACATGAATGAAAAAGAAGACACGCTTCTACTAATTTGCATCAAGATTTATGTTCGTGATACTTTGGAGATTGCTGTCTCAGGACACTTGGTGACTTGATTGAAACTTGGAAGCAATAGCCACAAAACATATTACGATGTCCAGGGATTAGATTGGAGAGTTGAACTGCTGATTATTAATGGAACACCCAGAACTAAGATCTTTTAAAGTGCTATTTATTGGCATCATCTATGTAATACTTGTATATTGTTTGATTTGATGCAATTTTTCCAAGGGTGTTACTAAATGCCACAAGGAAATTACTTAGGGCGCAGTATTAAATGACTCATCTACCTTTATAAATTCTATGTTTGACATTATTCAATTTCTCACCAATTATACTCCTTCCACCACCATCACCCTAAACACCATCACCACCACCACCCTAAGGTCACCGGAATCACCATCACCCTACACACCATCACCACCACCACCCTAAGGTTGCCGGAATCATCCAATTTCTCACTATCTATCACACCAAATCAACCACTTATCATACCAAATCAACCAGAAAAAGGAAGGGGCTTACGACAATGGAATCGCGGCATGGGAAGGGGGTTCGTTTGCCAGGAAAACGCCGGCCAATTCGTCGGTAATTTTTTTATTTATTTTCGCATAAAATCGCATAGTCGCGTGCTATATGCGACTCCACCACGGTACAGTCCCATATAGCATGCGATTACACCGTGGTGGAGTCGCATATAGCACGCGACTCTACCATGGTGTAGTTTCATGCTATATGCGACTGTACCACGGTATAATCGCATGCTATATGCGACTATGCCGTGGTGGAGTCGCATGCTATATGCGACTATGCCGTGGTGGAGTCGCATATAGCACGTGACTATGTTTTTTTTTTTTTAATTTAAATTTCGAATTATGGTTGTAATTTGTTTTTTTTTTAAATTTTGAATTGACATCCGTAAATTAATTTTGAATTGGTGATAAAATTAGTAATGTAATTTGAATTATGGTAATCTTATTTTTTTTATTTTTTTAAAAATTCGAATTAATATTTTTTTTAATTCGAATTAATATTTTTTTTTAATTATGGTATTTTTTTTGCATTCGAATTAATATTTTATTTGATAATAAAATTTAATTATTAATCATGTTTTACTTGATCTATGTTTATCTTAATTCCATGATCATCAATGTTTTTGTTTTGAATCAGTTTATCTTTATTCCTAAGATATACAAGGTAAGAAACACACGCAATGCGTGTGTGTGAAATATAGAAAATTAATTAAGTTATATTCTCATCTTTAACGATAAATATTTGTTGGGGTAAATTTAAAAGCTGATGGGAAAGATATATATATATATATATATAACCAATTCCTATGTAAAAGTACAAAAATTAATCTAATCAAGTAGTTTCCCAACAAAAAAAAAAATTAGAGCAATTTCAATTATTATAGGGAGTGTGAGCAGTTTGTTTTTTTTTAAAAAAAAAAGGAAAAAAAAATGACTGAGAGCAGTTATGATAAGGTAGTTATTTTTAGTTTTTTATAAAAAAATAATTTTTAATTTTTAATTGTGAATAAAAGAGGTAATATTGAAAATTAAAGAGGGCAATTTGGAGATAGTGAAATTTATCACCCAAAAAGCCCTTTCTCTTTATATATTACTATAGATATGTATGATTTAAGAGAGTAGTTATTAAAAAAAAAAGTTATACTTGAAAGAGTCAAAGACTACGTAGATAATTGTCAACAATTTTTATTTATTTTCTTTTTTTACAATTGTCAACAAAGTAAACATGGATAATTTTTTAAAAAAATCCAAATAACTTGTTTTTTTTGGAGGTAACAACTAACTAACGTGAGTTGTGGGGATTTTATTTTTTTGTTTTTTTTTTAAAAAAAAATTTTATAACTAAAAAACCAAATGTAATCATTGTTTAAATTTTTTTATAACAACTACTCCCTCCGTCCCTAAATTACATTCCTCTTTGGAAATTTACACGGGAATTAAGGAGGAAAGAATAAGACAAATAACAATAATTAGATAATGCAATGGGAAGTACAAAGATAGATTAGTTATTGCTCATGACATGTCATCATCCTTTGCAAAAAAAAGGACCAATCACATGCTCCTAATTGAAAATTTTTAACCAATCATATTCATTGTAATTTGGCACAAGGATTATGAGTGAGATTAGGTAAGGATGAGTGAAAAAGAATTAAATAATAAAACAGAAAAAGAGAGTTGATTTATTAAAAAAAACTTACCAAAAATAGAAAGGAGATTGTAATTTTGAAATACCAAAAATAGAAAGGAGGAATGTAATTTAGAGACGGAGGGAGTAACTAAAATTTTTTTTAAGATAAAACCAACTGAAAATATAACTTTTTTATTTAAAGTTAATTTCAAATTAGTCATAAAAATTTTATTTAGCAATAGTAATAAGTAGTTAATAATAATTAATAAATGTAATCATTGTTTTGTTATATGCAAATATAATTGTTGTTACTAATTAGGGAGTAGTATATTTGGTTTAGGCATTGGCTTTAATTTGTAAATATTTAGAATTATGTTATTTTTTTTTTCAAAAAAAAAAGGATTATGTTATTTAAAAAAAATGATTTGAATAGTATATTGTTTAATAGTAAAATTATTAGTAATAATACTTGAAATAATAATAATTATTGTTAGAATTATGAATATAATAATTTGAAATTTTATTATTATATTAAATAGCGACAAGATGGAAAATCGATTGCGGTGAATGATGTGTTGACTAGCTCGGGGCCGCGACACACTCGAGCCCGAAACATCGATGCCTCTGTTAAGAGAGAAAGGGATGCTGCACGATTGGGAAAATTTGTTGTTGATGGTGCTTCTGATGATGTATCTGTTCCTTTTAACGACGAGCCTGATCACGGACGAGCTAGTGAGTCTGAGGAGATGGAGGAGTTTGAGGGTAATTTTGATCAGAGTGGTGGGCATGATGATACGTCAGGTGTAGTGGTTGGTAGAAGGGCTAGAGATGGTAGGTTTGTCGCTTCTGACACCGGTAGCACCACTATATAGCATGCGACTATACCGTGGTGTAGTCGCATGCTATATGCAACTATACACTATACCGTGGTATAGTCGCATATAGCATGCGACCGGGCACATCGGAAATTGAAAAAAAAATCCGACATATACCTAACTCGACGGCGTCGACGATTCATCGTCCCCGCCAAGTGCCTTCGATATGAACGCCGACCGTCGTCGGCTCATTTTATATCTCGTGGGTGGTCAAGGTAAAGTCGTGGTGTATGATGGTCAAGGTGGAGTCGTGGTGGTGGACCAATCAAGGTGGAGTCGTGGTGGTGGACCAGTCAATGTGAGTGATAGTATGGGTGGTGGAGCTAATGGTGAAGGTGGAGCAAAGGCAAAGTTAGTAATGGTTGGATTGTTATGTAATTTTTAAAATTGTAAGGGGCATGAAAATCAATTAATATTATAACTTGAGTAATTTCATTGTGGCAAATAGCAATTCACTTTTTCCAATGAGCGCATTTAGATACCACTTTGTGATATGTTCCGACACTGATGAAAGTTTTTTTTTTTTTTTACAGCGGAGTAAAAGGAGACTAGCTCCCAACAGCCTCGGGACTACCAAAGGCGTAAAGATAAGGACTAGGAGAGAGTTTAACTCTTTTAACAGAACCAATACAAGGAAGTAAACGGGGAATGGGGGTACAATCTTTAAAACATGCTGAACAATGCAAATGTGAGGGTTCCCAAGCTTCATCGCCGATCATAGACTTCAGATACTCAAGGCTGGCTCCTTTTCGCTTCTTGGACCTGTGATGCCAAACCCTGAAAATTAAATTACCTTTCCTATTCTTCATTCTTGACTTATGAGGCCTTCCATATTTCCTTTTTGTGGTGGAGAACTCAAAAAAGGAGTGAGTGAGTGTGGGGATAGCTAGTACTACATCGGATTCAAAAGCCATGGGGTCATCTTCATTTGAGCCTACGGATTCCATTTCCACAAGGTTAGTGGGGTTAACATCTTCCGCTGGCACATCACTCCCATCCTTTGTACTTAAGTCCGTGTTTCGATTAGCGCTGGGATTTCCAGGCCTAATATCATAGTTGACCACTCTTATATTAGGGGGAGGCATGACCTTTTCCTTATGGTGTTTTTTGTCGTTGCTCCTCTCACTCGAACACACCAAACTAGATGGCATCCACGAAGCATAAGGACTTTGTGAGTCAGTAGGCTTGTGATTTTTAAGATGCCTCTCTCAAGTAGTCTTGTCCTTCATTTGTACAGTCATCCATGAGTCAACAGATTTGTTCAAGAAATTTAAAGTCTTCCCTTGTTTGAGTTGCGAGTAAGACAAGGTGGTTAGTTTAAGGGATTGGTTTTTTTTCATTCTATTGGAGAAGTAGTGAAAATTCTCGCGATCCTTTCCATTTGAGTGCCTTGCTTCTTTATTCATTGTAGGGAGGGAAGAGATTTCATCCTTTTCTTCCAGAGGGGCATAAGAGTTGTGGGTTGGAATGGTGCTTTCTACTTCCATTTTACTAGCCTAATTTGTGGTTGGAAGGCAGCTAGTAACACCACTTTGATCCTCACTATGCGATGACGGGTTGCACACAAGGCTAACAAGGGGTTCAGAGGCCTTTCCCTTTTTTGTGTGAGTACAGTGAGTGAGGTCAGAATTCTCGGCACCCCTCTTACCATTGAGTTTGCTAGCTTGACCACGTAGTCCCGTCAACCTTTCCAGCTCGCGGAGAATATCCTTATTATTTGGCTCTATTTTGGCTGCCTTGCCAAGATCTTCATACGCCTCTTCCAATTGGTAGAGTCTAATCTCTGCTGAGGCCCTTCTATAAAAAGATTTAACATTGCTACCATCAAACTTTAAGACTAAGGAGCAAAGCTTCTTAGTTTGATTATAATCGTGGACCTTAAGGGCACAAGCTGCAAGATTCAATTCCAAGACAATTGCTAAATTCCAGAGCATGACACTATCATCCGCATTACTCGGTAAACCAAAGCAAAGAAATTTTAGGCCTCTATCGTACTTTGCACCGGCAGAGACAACCTCACCATTCTTAAAATGTACATTACCCTCATCCTTTAACCATTGAGCTTGATTATAGATATCACGGGAACAATTATTAAGAGCAAAATTAACAATAGTATCATCATAGTCATCATTCAAATGCATGACCATAAGATCATCTATTAAAGGCTTGTAATCCATAGTTAACTGACTGAAAAAAAGAAGCTAAGAAAAAAACGTTAAAAACGAGGAAATCATAATTAAGTACCGACGGAGGGGGGCTTCAGGACCAGAAATCAGGCGGCTACCGCTAGGGACCAGGCACCACGTAGTCACCGCCAGCAGTGTTCACGGCAGTCGTGGTCGGAACTCCACCCGAGAGTGCAAGGGAAGGCTAGGGGCGTTGGTCAATTAACAGCTCCGATGATGCCTTGGCGAGCTTGAAGGGAAGAGGGGGGGTTCGCCGGCGATCGAGGAGCAAGCCCAACCTCTCCGACCGCCGGCGATCCGGGGGGAGGCTGCTGGCTGGAGAGTGGTTTCTTGAAACCAGGGTCGGTTTTTTTGTTTGTTGGTTTTTGGTGAAAAAGTGTGGGGCGCGTTCTTCAGACAACTTCTAAGTTAATTGAAATAGATTTTATGGTACTGATGAAAGTTTTATTTAAGCAATTTGTCTTCTAAAATAATCATACTTTTTTATGTGTTGATAAATAGTAATGACGTCTACTAAAATTTTGTAATGAGATAAAATAAATCACCAACTAATAAAACTGAAAATTTGTGCTTACCTTCAACCATTCTTCCTTGTCCCTCGAATATTGTCTCAGTTTCACACATAACTTATTCCCAGTTATCACCCCCAACAAAAACCTTGTATTACTGATCGAAGAGAGCAGGCAAGATTTTGACATCAATAAATCAGCAATAATGGAGATTAACAAACCAGCAAAGAAAATCTGATTTCAAAGGTTAATGTGATTCGTTCTACAAGTATTATCTGTACTTGAAGATCTCTTTATGTGGATTATGTCTCTCTTCTCACAAAGTCCGCTAAACTTGGTAACAGCAATTACGGCTGTTAGAATGGTCCCTCTAATGGAGTGGAAAAGTATCAGACTCGTATCACTTGAAAAAAAATTGAGCTTCTTGAGTTTAATACTTTAATCGAAGCCAAGGAGTTATGTTCATTGGACTCAACAATATACAATCAAAGCCTTTCGTAAGATAGCTTTGGAATCTATGAGCTATTAAGCCTATTTGAAGAAGCTTTTGACAACCATTCAAGATCTTACAAAAAAGATACTATAGGCTATGGAGCATTAGTCACATGGATTTTTACTCTAGTGGATTATAAGGAATTTAATGGTTACTTAGCAGAAAGGGGAAGAAGCCTATATAATTATTCGATTATTGCGATCCTTAAATCATGGAAGTTGGTAGTTAATCTTCTCATGGTATTTCATGAAGAGAATGTAGTCATGTAACACTCCTAATTACAGGAGGATGAAGAATGATGTATAGACATGTATGAGAAAAGAAATTTCAGACACAAAAGTAATTCAGGCCAACAAAATAGAAACTGACTTGGCTTTTGCATACTTGAAAACTTCCAATTTCATTCCTTGAAATATTGTTTTACATCACCTCAGATCTACACTTCTACATCAGCACTTTGCAACAGTGATCATACCATGTTTTCTAACCAAATCTCAGCTTGCAGCTAGCTTGGGTTCGAGCAAAGGTTGTGTTCGAATCAGGAATCTTTAAAAGAGACATTTCAAGGAGTCCGTACACTAGGCTTGAGCAGGTTCTTGATGACATCTTTCTCCTAGAGGACAATGAACCATTACAGCAGGTAAAGAAAGAATGAAGGTAAAAAAAACACTAGTACTAATTCATAATTTACAGATGATAGGCGAGGAAAGCCAACTCTCAATTGAACTTAACTTGAAATTATATTGATTTACCTTTAAACTCGTGTAACTACAACTCTACAAGATATATTACTTTACCCTTAAACTCACATAACTACAATTCTACAAAGATATATCGCGTTACCCTTAAACTCACATAACTACAACTCCACAAAAGAAGCACCTGCAACTCAAATCACATCATAACAGGTTCATGCAGACTTAAGTAGTTTCAGTTGTATTTTTTAATATCAGTGCAACCACATCATGATCGCCATACCAAACCTACTGTATCCCTCAAATTGCAAAGAAACAGTCATTCATTCATTCTTATATAGGTTAGTAATCTCAATACAACCACTACAAGTACTGGTAACATATGTATCTTACACTTCAGGAAGTATTGGTTAGTCATGTATCTTGAAAATAATAAACAGTCCACTGAGATCCAGATGGACGGAAGGATTATTTTGTTGGTCTTTTACAAGTAATACTACAAACCAATATATAAAAGGAAAAATTGCCCGCAATAATCCGACCTTTTAGCCATCCGCTGAAAATAATCCCACCTATGGATTATTTTTAAATAATCCCACTTTTATACCCACTCCGCTATAAATGGTCCCAACCGGTCATGTAACCTGTTATAACAAGTTACTTGACACGTGTCGCCATGTTATTTGTCAAAAAAAAAATTAAAATAAATTAAATTTTAAAAAAAGTTAAATGTATTTTTAAGAAAAACTAAAAAAAAAAAAATTAAAAACCACCACCAGCCCAAGCCTTCCCCGCCACCCCTGACACCTCATCCCGTAGCACCGGTCACCCAGACCCCCGACCCTAGCGCCGGCGGTGCCTTGAACCCCCTCCCCTGAACACCCCGCCTCCCTCCATCACATAACCACCATCTCCTTCCTTCACGACAGCAATCACAGCACCAACCTCCGTCGCGAAATCACCGCCCCCCAACTCCAGCGTCAGCGCCGTCGGCCACCAACAACTCAATCTGTCCACCCTCTCCCTCCCCCTAAACCGCCGACTCGTGGTCCCCTCACCCTGAAACCACCAACCACCCTCAAAAACCTGTTCCCCCGTCCCGATTTCAGTCCCTCTCCCCATCCCCGTCCAAATTCCGGTCGTTCCTCCCTTTGTCCATCCCGATTCCAGCCTCTCTCCCCTAGTCTCCTTCACGCGATTCCGGCCTCTCTCTCTCACCTACCTCCGTCGCGATTTCGGCCTCTCTCTCCTTCCTCCGTCGCGGTGGTTTCATATGTGGGTGCGGTTCCAGGGTTTAGGTTGGGTGGTGGTGGGTATGGTGGTGGCTGAATAGGTGTTGCTTAGGGGGTGGTGGTGATTTTTTACTTTTTTTTATTTATTTTTTAGACTAATCAATAAGTGACACGTGTAAATTCTACTTAAAAAAAAAAATTACCTGCTCAACCGGTTCCAAGTAAAATGGGATCATTTATAGCGGGGTGGGTATAAAGGTGGGATTATTTAAAAATAATCCGTAGGTGGGATTATTTTCAGCGGACGGCCAAAAGGTCGGATTATTGCGGGCAATTTTTCCTATATAAAAATACCAAAGAAAAAAAAATAGTATTTTGTTAGTCTCATGTCAATTTTTTTGGTCATTTAGATTTAATCACTTAGATTTTGCAGGAATAAATTGCATTCAAATTCCCTTTTGATTAGATCAATAAAACAATCCCTGAGTAAATCAAATACTTACCGTGCATATTTTTGATGAAATGGTCCAACTCTGAAAAACAATATGTTCTCTGAACGAAAGGAGATGGTAGCTGAAACACAAAAAATGAAAAATGGCGGCGGTCGGGATCATTATTTGGCTTTGAAGTCTCAACCATTTTTATGTGTTCTCCCCTGTCAAAACATGGATCAGCATTTTGACCAGCAACAGTCAAACCACAGTCCCAGGCTGTATTTAATACCTGTTAAACCAGAGTGTATTTCAGGTCATGTATGTGTTGCAATTGTTTAATTATTAATACAAAAGTGTTAGCTACTAAGATTTTATAATTTATATCATTAAATTACTAGTGGAAATCACAGTAGTGCCAAATAATGAGCTTGACCGCTTAATTTGCCAATGAAAAAGGCAAAACAATCACCTGCCAACTCAAACTTTCAGGATCAGCAGATGACTCATCATTTTCCCGAAAATAAATATGGGATCTCGGGCATACAAATTTCATTGTCACAGAATGCTTTCTGAGAACTTCAAAAACAGGAGAGTATCCATCCCGATTTGTTGGGTTATAGTACCCTGCAGTAAGCTCAGCTGCATGGCTAGGGGTCTTGTACCACCAATAGACTGCCGGAATCTGCAAAAGGATTGCAGATCCATCAAATTATTTCTTTATAAGGGATCTGTATGTGAATTAAACTTGAAATGCAGGTGTATGGACACAAACTTTGGACTTTGAAGTCAAGCCTTATTATTTCTCCATCAAATATTATGCATCAAGGTAAAGAGAAGGGCACTTGACCAATTTGAGAGCTTTTTTATGTCATGGACCAATTGAATGACAGAAAATTTATTACTGGGTAAAAGAGAAGGGCACTGCACTCCAAACAATAAAAGAAAAAAAAAGATCAAAATTGTATCATAGTAGCAGTAATCTAAGTTTTATCATGCCTGAAAGGGGTTTTCTTTGTTCCCCTCCGACAGAATTCTATATGGTGCTTCAGTTTTGGACTATAGGAAACAATGGACATTTTGAAACATCACATGGCATGCTTGTAGTGTCATCCACCATACGTGTGGTAAATTTTATCACATTTTTACTAAGATAGGTTTGGTTGTTACATATGCTACAATCTCTGATTCTCCTCTTGACCTTTCCTCAACTCCATAATATATGGCATCAAAAATGCTGTTCACTGAACCATATAAGCATACAGAAACCCTCCACAGGTAAACATGGCACTGCACCGCACCACAAGCACCCATGAGTTTCCACAAACACAAAGGACTTTGATCTTCTTACATACTCTATCAAACCCTTAACGGAAACAATGCCTTCCATGAATCCAACTCTCATTTTTGCATGAAACCATGTAATCCCAATCAAAATCCCATCATCCTATTCATAAATAACAAGTCAAACATCATCATTTGAATTATCTACTCCTAGACTTTGTTTAGATAGAAGGAAAAGAAAAGAAGAAGGGAAGGGAAGGGGAAAAAATCTCTTGTTTGGATAAAGGATTGAGGGAAGGAAGGGGAAAGGAGAGCAGGGGTCAATTTTCCCTCTCTTTAATAAGCATAATCCCTCCAAAATTGGAAAGATTTGGAGGGAAATTGGAGCTCACCTTCCTCTCCCTTTCTTCTCCCTCCCCTTCCTTTCCTTCCTTCTTTGCTATCCAAACAAAGTGTAAGTGTGACAGATGAATATGCCTGCCCATTCTAGAAAAAGCATGTGCTCTATTCCTAACCTTAGGAATAAGATTTGATGCCCTATAGATATTATCAAGAACAGGACACTCCAATCGTTAAAAAGTAGATTCATGACTCAGATGAATGAGTATCCTCAAAAACACATTTATGTCATCCCCAAATACTCCATTCCCAAAATTCCAAACACTGATCATTGCAATTCAAAACAACTCTGTTATCATCACAGTATCCAAACTATCCATTACATTCGCACCAGGCTTAAGAGTTAAGACTCTGAAAAATGATGCGCATGGATTTTAGCCCTGTAAGGCTATCCTTCACTGGTTTCATAATTATAATCTTTGACTACGAAGATACAACAGATCTGAGATTATCTTGTGCCCAACTACCATCACCATCCAATGTCTTGGCAAGTATTTAGTACTTGAATTACAGTTTTTCTACAGATAAAGATCATCCTTCATTGTAACACACTCATCCTAGGCATAAATTGAAAGATCTCTTCCACCCACTATTTCTCCCTTGTGTTAAAATGGAAATTTTTTTATCATCAATGAGTTTGGCTATCCATAATTATTTATAATTCCCAACAAAACAAGATATCATAAAAATTCCAGGGCTATGTCCGACAAAGTATCTGATCCTCAAACACTCTAGATTTTATGAAATTTTATAAAAGGCAAGTATATATTAGGCCATTTGGGTGTCTTGTCAAAGTGTCAGAGGATCTAACACGCGACATTGCAATAGATCAAGGCCAAGGGCTGCCAATCATTCAATATTATCAGAGAAGAGAAAAGAAGGGAAGAGGGAAACAAGGGACAATGGCGTTCACAACAGAGCAGCAAGAGGAGGAGGTGGCACATGAGGACAAAAGCAATTAAGAGTGGGAGAGTAGCAGAGCAGCAGCAAGTAATGGAACTTTGGCAAGCAGCATTGGTAGAGTAAAAAGAGTAGCAGTAACAGCTAGTATTTGTACACCTTGTATATAAATTAAGAGGGAGGAAATCAGTAAGGATTATGAGAGTAGACTATTTTGAAATTGATAGTTGTATCCTAAAGATACTATTTTGGAGAGTGGTAGCCTCAAGCTACTTTGATATTCAATCAATTAACCTTGCTGCTGTCTATTTATTTGCTTGTTCATTGTTCTTTGTGTGATATTTGTTTGCTGTGAGGGTGTAGTCTATTACAGACCCCCAATGTACAACAGGATGTCGAAGTAACATAGCTTCAGGGCACTTCATAACAAAGAACAAGACTCCACGGACCGGAAATAAAAAAATACTCAAACATTTATCAATCAATAACTAATCACTTGATACACAAGCATTTATAACAATCACAGATTCACGATACAAGCCAGGGACAAATCCATGGAGGTCAACCACATTGACTCCATCACAAATTCACAATTGTTTTCAAATATCACACTCCAGACTCAACCTTATTGACTCCATCAAAATGGAAAGTGTAAAGCAATCAGTGAGCATTGTGGTAATCTCCATCACACAAGACTGAGAAGAAATTCAAGTTCTCTACAGCTACAAAGAATAGAGGCCACAGGCACAAAGAATTGGTATAGGGTATGGGTATAGTCAACACTAACAAATCTGAAGTCTAGAGAAGCTTAAAAGGGGAAGAATAAAACAGGCAAAAAGGTGCAATAACATCATTATACACAGAGAATATGCAATCGAAAGTTACCTTAACAACTATCTGTGTTTCTTCAAATGTGAGGCTTGCCAATGATAATACATTGTCAGCATGGTCTATCAACATCTGAGCATACCAGTTCAAGAAAAAACGTCCAAAGTAGCTTTCATAATCACCTTTTTCACAGAAATACCCAGTTTCAGGTGGCCTTGAATTATAATTCCCTGCATTATCAGGGCCCTGTGCCCAAAATGAGTGGCCACGCAATTTTGCAGCCTTCCTTAAATTCTGTTGCAAGTATCTGTCGTAACACTGAATCAAATTTTATGGTCACATGTCCAGGTTGATTTCAGGAGAAAGAAAACTGAAACGAGCATATTTAATAAAACTAAGGCACAGTATGTCATAAATTGAATGGTAGCGTGTTTGGATACATACAAAGCTAGATAATTTCACAATATTAAACAGGTGTAGTAAATAAATGAGATGGTAGCTTCACAATAAAGAGAAGTGCTGACGTAATTATTTCTTCAACATTACTATTTTCTGGGAAGTATACAGGCCAATGCAACTAGCCTGGCACGGTGTCACGTATGCAAGAAGTCGAAAGATGCTCTGCAAGGACTCGCCAACAGTATGGCCTGAGCACTTGATACATTAATGATGCTTTATATGTCTTATCCTCATCTTAAATTGCTTAAATTCTTGTATGATTGAAATATTGAAGATATACTTCAGGTGGCCAATGTACAAGAAACCTACTGACGAGAACCTTTCATTCAAGGTTCCTTTCAGAAAGGATTATCATGCACAGCACGCTGCTGAAATAGCAGCAGATGACATGAGAGAACCATAACCAGATGAAGAAATCCTCAAGAGTTTTCCATAAAAAGAAATCTTACAAATCTATAGTAATCTTTCTTCAACATATAAATATTCATGTATGGGCGATGGAGCCACAGGGAAAGCAATGTCATTATTCTAGCATGAAGATTAGTCACTCTAAGCTTTGACTTAGACTTTAGAGACTAATACAAGGGCCCTTCAAGTATCAAATTTTTCTCTTGATATTGCAAAGTTTGCCTGCCTGAGACACACCACTAACTCCATAACAAGGTGCGTATTCACGCTCCAGACTCAACCTTATTGGTTTCTTAAGATGCATTACTCAGAAACTAAAGAGATGCACAAAAGACAGAGTCAGCATCAACAAATATATACCTGAAACTCACCAACACCAGGATATCTCCATCCCAACCTTTCTGGGAAAGAAGGAAACTTCAGCTCCCCTGATGCTCCTAGACCAATTTCAACAGCAGTGATAAGACCATCACCAAATATATCATCAAACTCTGAACGGAAGCTTCTCATAAAATCAAAGTAAACCTACAGTTTGTTTCAGAATGCTATTGCCAGGTAAGTTACAAATTGTTCTGCTTTCCTCTTATAAAAACAAACAAACAAACAAAAAAAAGAACAAGATGATTACCTCGATACCAGTTCTTCCTCTTAATACTCGTTCTTTGTCAATACCCCATGATAGACATTCAGTGTTTCTCCGTCCTTCGCGATCTGTGAAGAATATGTCTTGGTTGTCTTTCCCAATCTCTAGGACCCAGTGGGGGAGTGAGATGAATACATTACCAGAATCGCTTCCTCCATACTCATGAAAAGCCAACACAACCTTCAGATATTTCATGATTCAGTTGCTACAGGATAGAGTTAGATGGCTTCTAAATAATCTATCACTGCTAGCTACAATAACCAGATACAGTGATTATCACCTTCAAATGCAAAGTAGCAGGACAATATAAAGAGCCCAGACATCATCCTCATAGCCTACAAACCGTTCGACCCTAAGACATAACAAGTGAAAATGGAACTGGAATCTTGCCCCATAAATTAGAAGGCAGATTGTAACATGACCACCCTCTGACGTTGCAACCTCAGAGCACAAAGTGAGCATCGTAACTCAAGCCTAATCTTTATGAGATAACTGTTTTTGTTTTCATTATATTGTTTACTCTTTAGAGATAGTGCAAGGAGCAGCTCGGGATGAAGGGGTACTATAGAATATAGAATAAGCTCCTGAAGAATCTAAAAAAAAAAAAAAAAAAGTGGTCATCAAACATACACATTTGCCTATTCCATAGATTTGTGAATCCTGAAATGCTAGAATACCATCCACTTATGCACCAAAAAAATTCACCTAACAGATATTAGCTATGCAATCTTCCTTCCACTATTACTACTTAGGTATGTTCAGCTTTACATTTACAAAATTAACAGCAGTGATCCAAAAAATACTTTCCCCCTCTTTCAAATATAACAGTTGTAGGTCTTCAAGAAAAGCCTCTTCTGCAGTCTACACTAGTCAGGGAAACCTCTACAGACCCATGCTTGCAGCAGAGATTTAGGTGTGTTACTTTTACAAAATTGTGTTTTTGTTGTATATGTAGTCTTGTAGATATTGATCAGGGCAGATTAAGGACATAGTATAAATAAGACAAGGTTCAGATTGTGACAACAGCATAATGATGATGAAAAAATTTCAAGGAAAACTGCAACTACCTGTACTTTTAGCTGAAATTCTCGGATGATCATAAACAACTCCCGATATCCCAACCACATATACTTCTGTGGAGTCCATCCTTCAACGATTCCCCACCAACAGTCTACAACGACACCATCCACATTTAATGATTTCAGATGCTTTAGCTCCTGTCTAATGCCGTGAGGATCAACAAGCTGGCAGTAACTGTTGATGATGCCACTCTAGCATAGTTAAGCCCATAGAATACAAAAATTATATTACATGTAGGTAATCATATAGCCATAGAGAGTTTAAACAGTAACTATATTGTAGAGGAAATGAAAGAGGCTTCAAGTAGCGGCTATTGCAAAGGCCAATGCATAATATCATAAGCAAGAGTATTGATCAGACGATCAGTAGAAGATAAACAAAACAGATAGAACATGAAAAAATTAAGTCAAGGAACACAGCAAGTAATCAATGGATAAGCAAAAAAAAAAATGCAACGAAAAAAAGGGGCTAAACCCTGTATCACTTACTTGGAGCTTAATATACACAGGAACATGTGGGGTTCCAGAGTAATTATCCTCGTGAAAGTCTGATTGAACATGTTGTATCAACTGAAGCATAAAACCACATTATCAGATAAAGAAAAGGCAGGGCTTCCTCCTACTAGAAAGCAAAAGTATGATACCTGATGTGCCTCCAAAGATTCAGGTGAGTCAATATTGCTCGTGCTATATTTCTCACTTTTCGTTTCCATCTCTGTAACGACAACAGAATCAAGAGATGCTGGTGACAAATTTTCATCAATTCCAAGAACTGCTGGCTGACAGTCTAATGATGCTTTCATGGAACAATTCTTCAAAGAACTAGCAGAAAGGGCACTTTCAGATGACCTAACAGGAAGCCCTCCCTGTCAACATTATTAATTATTTAATTCATCTAAATGCCACATGTCATGTAATTCTTGTAGCAAAATGTGTAAGGAATTTTCAGCTTCACACAGTGACACAGACAAAAGACCTTGAAGACTTTGCCAGAGGCACAGACCCAACAGACCAAATATTGACCTTTACACTAGAAGAGTGTCTGATGAAACTAATGCGTGCTACAAAAGAGCATTGCTTAAAAAATAATAGTATTCCTAGATTTTCTCGATTAATTACACATTAAGTGGAACATAATGATCATCTAACAATCTTGATGTGATCATAACAACATAGCATATAAAATTATAAACAAATGCAAACTAATAATACTTCAGGCTCCCCGCCCGTTCAATATTCAGTTCAGAACAGCCACAAGGTGGACTCAGCAATCAACTGTAACCAGCAATAGGCATTTATATTTGCATGCTTCAAGCTATATATTTTTAACAGTATTTACATTACAGACGGATAAAGAAATAAAAGAGTCATGACCCTGTCAATCAAGAAAAAAACACAAAACAAATGGGACAGAAAACTGCCAAGCAAAACAGGAAAAAAAAAAAAAAAAAAAAAAAAAAAAAAAAAAAAAAAAGCACACAGCTGAACAAAATAAGCTGCACCCTCCCAGATGAAGTCCTTTTCTATAACATCCCATTACTGGTAAATTCTCTACCACGATTTCTTTTCTGTATTAAGTTTATTGAGACAAAATGGGACTGGATACCACAGAATCTAGAATGAGAATACATACTATAGGTTAGTGAAATGGATAAGGACAGATATCATCAGCTTGTATCATCTGCAAGTTCAGTGTAGTAAGGTTGTCCAACCATAATAATGCTCTTTTCTGATCTAATTGAACAAGGGTAAAAGGTGAGAGAAAACAAATTTTCATTTAGCCCTTGGGGGCTTGGGGCAACTTTAATCAATCAGGGGGTGGTAAAAGATGTCTTAGGACAGCAGTAGCTTACAGATATCCAACTTCTAAATAAACATCTCAGATTCTGGTTTTGTTGTAGCCAATACTTTTCCTAAAGAAATCTAGAAGTATAAAATCCACAAATCACTAATATACTTCCAATGATTTCATTTATATACTCTTTCCAGCACCTAATTCGGCTAATTGTGACATTGAACCAAAATCTCCACAAGTATCATGTTCTTGTGCCGAAACACCATATTTCCCTCTCCTTGCACAAAAATTCCCTGTCATTTTCCCCATTATGTTCCCTAATTCCTTAATCTTAAGCTCTTGATCACTTCCACCACACTAAAGTCACATAAATCCCAGGAAATCCTTACGCTTCATTTAATCCCTGTCATTTACTCCATTCTGTAAATGCCAGTCATTATACCATACAAAATCAGGAATAATTCCTTTACAAGTACTACAGCTGATAGTTCTCTATGAAAATAGATTTGTTCCCAAGATTCTCAGTTTGTGCTTATTATAAAAAGACAGCACGAGCCTTGCTACAACAAGGAACCAAAACAAACAACTTTTACCCAGACGCAATCAAGGAATGCTGATACCAAAACCATAGTAAATTCCATCAATTTTTCATTTATTATAATGTCCCATATATAACATGGACACAACACCTAACAGGCAATACCCATTTTTACCTTCGAAGTGCTAAGGCTACCTTTAGTATCCATCAAGCAATCAGGTTATCCAACGCGTTGCAGATTAAATCTTTATTTTCAGAAGACCAAGCCACAACTGAATAGAGATAAGTACACACTTCCACCCAAACATCTTTTATTCCAACTACAAGTCTCAAATTTTGCATATTATCACTCAACAAACAAAGACAACTCAAAACCACCACCAACAAATAATACCAAGAAAACAAATAAAAGAAACCTAGAGTATACAAAGCAAATTCCTTAGTTAATAAGTTTCGAGTTTTACACAATTCTACACAAATATCAATAACCACCAACCAACTGCGTGATTTTGCTGTGCATTCCTAAATTAACACAGGATCATTTAAAAATCATAACTAATGCTTATAATCAGCAATTGGGGTTCCATATAACATAATCAATTTTTCAATCACCGCTAATAACAATAAATGAGGAAGAAAACGAAACAAACCAGCTGAGAAGGTGGAGGAGAAGATCGATAAGTAGTGCCATCAGGCTCAACCATCCAACCAGCTTCCCGAGCAAGAGCGGCGAGCACGTCATTCATGTCGGCGCGAGCAGGAAGCGGGAAATTCCCGTATTGCCGGAGACCGGAAAGCATGCGGCTCGTGATGGCTCGCCGATGACGCTCCCGAAGCTTGGTTCGCTCCTTTTCCTTCTCTCTCTCTCTCCTCCCTTTACCATCGCTGCTTCCGGAGGAATTTCCGGCGGTGACGGCGAAGCCTCGAGGACGGCGGTTGCTCTGCTGCTGTTGCTGGGGCTGAGAAATGTGATGGTAATGGTGGGAATTTGAGTGGGGGAAATTGTTAGGGTTAGGGTTGGGGATTCGGGGGTTGAGAATTTGGGGATTTTGCTGGATTTCGTTGTGATCGAAGGTTGCCGGAGTTGAGTTTTCGCCGGTGCCGTTCATTTTGATTTATTTGGGTGTCATCGACGGTGGAGTTTGGACTTGGAGTGTTTTCTTCCTATCACTTCCTCTAAGTCCGTCACTCACTTTGTTTGATCGTGGTAATCCCTCTATATTTTTTTTTTATTTTTTTTTTTTTGAAGTACATGGTACGTATCGGTTTGACCGATACATAATTTCTAAAATAGATACCGTAAATAAAATGAAGTAAAAGTACACGTAAACATTAAGAGAAGCAATGAGCTTAAAAAAGAGTCAAATTCGACAAGTGATAAGCTTCACACGCACACAACTATGATTCCGTCTAGTTCACGTCCAACACTCGCTTAACTCACCACCCACAGATTCCATCATCCATGGATGAAAAAGGAGCATTCGGTGATTGACTAGTTAATTAGGATGACATTAATAAATGTTAAATATGTGGGCGGGTGGAGTGGAACACCACTTGAATCCGATCAAATGAGTTGGTCTTTTAATAGGTTGCCTAACACTTTAGACTATGCTAACATCATGCATTCAGGCTACATTCAGTGATTCGCATATGCTCCATAACTCTTGCAGCATGTTTATTGGGATTTGACCTCTTCAAATATAAATCCAGGGGTCGTTTGGTTCGCACAAAGTAAACAGAATGGAATGAACAATGGGAATGAAAAAGAATGGAATAAACAACCATTCCATTTGCTATGATGTTTGTTTACCAAAAAAACAAAAGAATCCAACCACCATTCTAAACACCACCCCACCACCACCACTATAAACACAGCACCTTCCCTTTTTTCACCTTTCCAGCCACCCCACTACCCCCTTCGCCGCCCCTCCCCACCCCTCGCCGCCCCTCCTCGACCCCTTACTGCCCCCTCTCCCCCCCAAAAAAAACCCATCTTCTTTCCCAAAAACCCTCCCCCACCAACGGAAAAACCCTAAAAACCACGAAAATAGTCGATCACCCTTCCCCCCCCCCCCCCGAAAAGTGAGAAAGAGAGGGTGGTTGTGTGGTGGAGGAATATTTTCAGGGGAGATGAGGGTTTATCGGGGGAGTCGGTGGGCATGGGAGGGGCGTCGGTGGGCAACTGGGTGGTGGAGATAGGTTAGAAGGTGGTGGCTGGTGGTGAAGTGGTGGTTAGGGAAGGGAATGCAAAGGGCTAGGGGTGGGGAATCAATTTGGAATAAAAATGGGTAAACTCAAAAATAAAAATGGGGAAAGGGAATGACAAAAATGGACAAACGACAAACAACAACAAAGGGAATGATACCCTTTTCCCTTTGATAATTAATCCCAACCAAACGGTCCCCTAGAATGTTGGTGATGATTCTCCAAATTACTCACTTTCTCTCTCGGCCAATATCTCTCTACAAAACGCGCAAAGTGCCCTTAAGATATGTACCCAACTATATTCAGTGACTCTCCATGATAATCTATGTATATCCATTTGTGGGCTAAATATAAGTTGTCACACAGGTAGAGATAAAAGCTAACTCGATCCACTTTATAACCATTTTAGTATAATGGCCTAAGATCTCCATTGCTCGAATAGGCTTGACTTTTGTTTTCTCGTTATCTTAATGCAAAATGAGCCTCAATTGAAAACTTTCGTCGTATGTTTATTTAAACTATTGTACCCATATTTGAATTTATGTAGAGTTTACAAAAGTGAAAAACTCAATTGAATTGAAATGGATCACTTGGTATTTCAAATAATCCAAAAGGTTCATTATGACTTTTTTTTGTGAGCTATTTTCAAGTTGTAAAGTTGGTGAAAATACCTCAAAATTTGGATTGTAATCCTTATAAGTGTTTTTTATTTGGTTCATTTATAGTATCGGTTGAATAAATTGAAGTTCTTTAATTGAATATGACAAGCATTACTAATGAAACTATATACAGTGTCTAAGTTTGTATTATCGTATATGTAAGTGTATGCATGCATTTAAGGGAAATAGTGAAAAAAGGGCATTAAAGGCACTGGTTTGTAAGAATTGGTGCCTTTTGATTTTAAAGAGACACCGATGTCTTTGCGAAATGCTAAAAGCATCAACCATTTATGCATTGAATCAATATTTTAGGTGTTTCTAAGGCCATTGGCGAAGTTATGCATTGAAAATTTTACGATCATTCAGTAATAGACAACTTTATAATAATTAACATTGATTGATATCAAATATTGGTAACATCCCTAGATAACGTTTGTTTATATGACCAAGGGCCTATTCTAATTGACTGAACTGAGCTGAACTAAACTGAGAACTGAACTTATTGGAGTTGAACTGAATTGAACTGAATATTTTATGAGAGAAGGAAAAATTAAGAACTAAAATGAACTTATTAGAGCTAAACTGAACTGAAAATAATCTGAAGAGAACAGACACTAAATGGGTTATTGGTTTGGCTAATTGGATCTTGTGCGTGCTCAATATATGCATCTTGCTGGAGTTAGAAATGATGTATGAAAGTAATATTAATGCTCCTTGAAACTTAGTAAATCCTCAACACTGGGAAGGCTTGCCGAGAGACATACACGTTTCCAATGATGCACGGTGTGGGTTATGTAATAGTGAGCATGCATCAATTATAGTTATAGTGTAGTTTAATTTTCAATTGGTCAACTATGCGACAAGTTTGGATCACTGTTTGTTTGCTAAATACATAAAAGGTGATATTTTTTCCTTCTTCCCAGTGAGATTTATGTGGATGTTTGCCACAACTTGGCAGAATAGTATGTCTTTCATCAAGCTGAGTTGAATGAGAGATTGTTATATACACTCGGGTGTACGGTACATCCAAGGACATTTGTTTGTTCATTTGATGATAAAATGAGCAATAATCATTGAAATGATAAAAAAAAATACTCTTGGGTGCACCGTGTACCCGGGTGTATAAAACAATTTCTAGAGTTGGAAGGTGAAGGTTTGAATTTAGCTAATGTTATCCACAGGAACAAGTATTGGAGAACTGCTCTTGACTTCCTTGTTAAAGATAATACAGAGTATGTGTTACATTGACAACAATTTCATGAAATTTGCGTGTGCCCATATCAACAGAAATGAGAATTGCGTGTAACCATGTCAAAATACATTAATTTCATTTTAACGGCGCAAAATAAAGTTTGTCTAATTCTATCAAAAATAATCAAATCAAGACACCATAATTGAACATTTCAAATTTAAAAATTGAAAAATTCTTCAATTCCACGCCTAAATTAAAAAGAAAAAAACAAAAAATAAAAATTGAGATTACATTAGGACAAGAGTAGGGGGAGCAAGAAAAGGACATGGACCCCATGATAATATTTGTGCAGACATAAAACCAACCCCATCAAAACCCAAACACACAAAATACAGTTTAATCGAAATATCCGCCCTAAAAATAGGGCATAATCACTACCAACATCAACAAAAACGCCATGTTCTTTTCTTAAAAGCTTCATTTCTCTCTTTTTCACGCTTTCACTTACTTTCACTCTCTCTCCTCTTTCTCTTTCTCTCTCCTACTACATTATTACTATTATTTGAACTGACCCAGAATTCAAGCAAACCTTTTATTTAATTGAAATTATGTTGAATAATTGATTATTGATTATTCTTGGTAGATCTGAAGTGGGTATTCATTTGATTTTGATTTTATAATGTGGGGTGTTGTTTCCGGCGATTAGGGTTTTTTGTATGATAATGTTGTTGTGATTGGTGAATTTGGGGGAAAGAGGAGGAAGATGGGATCCGGGAGTAGTAAAACGCGTCGTAGTGAGGGTAGTGTTGCGTCTTCTGCTTCTTCTACGTCGTCGTTTTCATCGGCGGTTGTTGGTGGTAGGAGAAGGGGTAAAAATCGAGGAGTTTTTAGTTCTCCTTGTCTTGGATCGTCGTCAAGAGCTTATGAAAGCGATGATGATAATGATAATGATAATGATGATGATCAGGTGATTGTTTTTCATTGTTTACATTTAATCATATTTATATTTTAGGGGTTTTAATTTTATGGTTCTTTATTTTATATTTTTGAATTTGAATATTGGTTTATGTGAATGTAATGTGTAATTGGAATTTGATGTGCATTGTGCTGTCTTTGACAGATTGTTGCTGAAAATGTAGTGTATTTTTGTAATGATTTCGTGTTTTTATTGGTTTTGGTGTGCAAGAGGTGGAATGATCAATGATGTTTAAGGGGGTTTGTTTCGGGTTTGATAGACAGGATGGATGCTTATCGTTTCGATGTTAATAGTTGCAACTCATTAAGGTGGAAGACATTGTTATGTTTGGGAGGAAGGAGTAGTATATCTAACCTTTATGATGGATTCAATCTTGAAAGGATAGTTTTGCGCCCCACAAAATATAAAAGTTTAAAGGTGAATCCAATTATAGATTATGGTATTATTGAGCACTATATGAGGTCCCCCCCCCCCCCCCCCCCCCCCACACCCACCTTCCCCAAAATGTTTCAGAAGAGAGTTGCTTTATAATATAAGCTTTCTATTGGAAAAATGGAGTTTAATAGTAAGAAGTAGCTGAATTATAGTGTTGGTTCTTACTTCTTAGTATCCGCTATGGTGTTAGTATGTTAATTCCTCACCTCTCCTATGTTGATAAATGTAGTATCACAGCTGCTAAATGACCATATATAATTTGGAGTTTCTGGTTTCGATATTACTCATTTGAGTCACTTTTACAGAGGATCGTGTTCTTTTCTTGATCTATAGACATCATCATTGGTGATGTAGTTGTATAGATTGTCAAACTGTAACATAATATCTGTTAGTATGAATATGAAGTGAACTCTGACGAATTATTCCTTTGCCAACACAACCCTTCGTACACTTTTTATGCAAAGTGTGTACATTGTGTTGATCACATCCTGTATATTCAAGTTTGTTCCGAATATTTTAGAAATCCTTATCATCTTTGTGGACAGGGGCAAGTATATATCAATGAACTGAAAGTCTGAAATTACAGGTAGAAATTGTAATATTGCAATTTATCGTTTATAAAAGAACTAGTTTGTAGGTTTGGGTGATGCCTTCTCATTATATTGCTTGGTTTAGTGTTGAACACTTTACTGTATAAACTTGAGGTCACAAGATCAAATTCTGTACAAGCATGTTTAAATTCCTTAGGAAAGCATTTTAATAAGAAATTTATTATAAATTTTAACTTTTTCAAGTCACCAGTATGTGGGAAGGATTTCAATAAGATTTGTGCAATGTGATTGTTGGGACTTCAAGTTAGGTGTGAATGGCAGTGAAGGTATTGGAGATGCATAGTACTCTTTGAGTATCCAACTATCCCCTATTGTTAAAGGTCTCACAAATGTTGATATGAATTTTCACTGATCAAGCTTACTTGTAAGGTTTTCTCACATCCATGGATATTCAGACTTCAGACTTTCAAAATGTGTGATTATGATGATTCACTTGATAGTGTTATTGATGTGAAATGTAGGGATTACTAGACTAAAATCAGGTTTAACATGTAACTAATAGGTATACTGACATTTATTGAGGGAATGTGCAACTCCTTGCTGCGACTTCACAGTTCAACCTTTCAATCCTTAATGTTTAGTGTACTGTACCTGAATGTCTCAAAGTATTTCCTTTAAGAAAATGACAACTTACTAGTACACTTAGAAGGGCCTTACATTTCCTTTGGAGTGTTGCAAGATGCTCAACAGTAATTTGCATGTGATCCAGTCTGATCACTGAAAGCAGAAACCATTCTAACATGTAGTTCTAGATAAGAAGTTAAGAACTTACGTCTTTGAGGCTTTGATCTGCTGTTGGAAAATATGTGTTATTTTTAGTTGAAATGACAAGTTTAAATATTCAAATAATGAGGTATTGGTTCAATTGATTGTCCTGCCTCCCAAATGTTTATAGTTGGAGAAGCCATATATCATAATCGTACTTTGTGGACTGTTAATGCCAAGTCTGAATATAGTTCTCATGTCACTTTTTTAGATGCATTCAGCTTATGGAATGATTGTACCTACAGGTTATAGATCATAATGGTGAAGCTAGTCGGACAAGATTGCCGCGACTTGAACCAGAGTCTGATGAAGTGAAAGTTCAGTGCTACCAAACATCTAAAGTTGACGGGCCTGATAACATGCCCTGTGTATCTTCTAATATTGAGCTTGGTGAATGGGATCATGCGATTGGAGCAGGCAGCAGGGCTGATGGAAGTTCATCGCAAGCTTTCTCTGGCCAATCTCTGAATCATTCGAGCCGATTTTTATCTCGCTTCAGTTTTGTTCCTGGTAGTGTTAGTTTTCGACTGAGCAGAGCTGCCAGTGTAGGCTCGTCAAGGGCTTATCCTTCTTCTCCCACAAGCTTCGCCATTTCAAGTGGTGAAGAAGACCTTCATCTGCAAGGAGGTTTTCCCCGCCGCTTAATTAACGGTAATGCAAGTCAACATAATAGCAATCTGAATTCTCTATTCACCAGTACCTCGGTCGGATCTCATGGCGATTCTTCTATAAATCTAGTTCGGCACCCTGAAAATCCTATTTTGTCTGGCTCTTTGCAAGATAATGAGGTCATTTCTGCACAAGATCTGGTGGATGATGATAGTGAGAGAATTAGGCCAGATGTCCATTTACCTTCTCTTGAAAGTCATATAGATGTGGAGGGTTTGAACAGGAGAATAGGGGACCGTCGAAACGGTGCACGAGAACCAGCAGATCGCAATGTTCGATTTAGTAGAACTTTAAGTGTGGGAAGGCTCCGTGATAGAGTTCTACGAAGATCATCATTTTCAGACTTGACTCTTTCTCCTTTGCCACAGGAGAGAGGAACTTCTTCTGATGGAAATCCTGTTAACTCTCTGGTGTCTTCTCCATATCCGTTGCCTAACATGCCTAACTCCTATTTCGTGAGCCAAAATAATGATGTTGAGATATCAAACCTTAGTGAAGGCAGGCATCATGATTCACTGGAGCATAGATCTAATTTCTTGGAGCGGAGAAGAAGAATTAGGTCTCAGGTCTGTTTATATTCTATTGCTAGATGGCGATTAATAAAACTGCTCGCTTACCTTTCAACTACCTAGCTTTTCCACTTATAAAATATCTTGGCTAAATAAACTTTATGTTGTGCTGTTATAGAACTTAGCTTCTAATTATTTTTCATGTCTATTGTTAGATTCTAGTTTTCTGTATGTTGTGTATGATCCAACTGGAATATGGTTTAAGGATAGGTATAAATTATCATTCAAAAATGTCAAGTCAATTAGCATGTTTTTTTTTTAATCCACCTTCTAATGATGTAAACATTTTCAGGTACGGGCTCTTCAGCGTTTGGGTAGTCGTTTTGAGAATCTATCAGGGCATGAAAGGTATTGTATTCTGTCAGGGCAGCATCGTACTGGTCGTTGTTCTTGTCGCTTCAGTACCAGAGATTCTAATTCAAATAATGATGGTGCTCGAGCTAGTATATCGAGAATTGTTATGCTAGCCGAGGCTCTGTTTGAGGTATTTTTCACTACCATTCTTTTGTGCCTCTGTGGAGCAATGGATCCCATTTATTATTCTTTCTCAATTGCCATTTTAGAATCAGTTGATTGTTTAATACTTTGTACTTAATTAACTAGGTTCTGGATGAAATTCACCAGCAATCAGTGGTGTTATCCTCCCGACCTTCTGTATCTTCGATTGGATCAGTTCCAGCACCAAACGAAGTTGTAGAATCCTTACCTGTAAAAGCATACACTAAGTCAACAAAAATTCAGAGCGAGGAGGTTGCACAGTAAGTCTGAATCCTATTTGAAGGAGAATGATTGATAACCCACCTTGTATGGTGTAGTAAATTTTGCACTGCTGCTTTTGTTAATCCATTTAACCATGTTTCCACTTTGGTCCACAATTACGAACTTTTTTGGGTATAATTCAACTTATAATAGATGATAGAGCCAGTTCAAATTATTTTTTTTATAGTAGTTGTAATTCTAGGCAATGTGGGGAAACAGTTGTGTGCAACATAGTTGTTTTGTCCTTATTCTACTTGCACCCCTGTGGTTTTATTTTTGTATGCATCTTTAATTATTTATTTTTTAAGATCTATGTTAGGCAATGTGCCAATGTTTTACGTCTACCATAATATTATTACAGTAGAAGTCTAGGCTAATTTACTTGTAGGATTCGGTTTTGAGGGTTGGTATTCTTTTTTTTTTTTTCAAAATAAAATATATACCTTGTCCTTCAGTATGCTACTATGCTCTATGTGTTCTATCTCAACTTATTCAACATGTTTGTGGCAATAGGATAATCTAATTTTGAAGGTTTGACTGCCTCAACAGATGTTACATATGCCTTTTGGAGTACGAGGAAGGCGATGACATGCGAATATTGCCCTGTCATCATGAGTTTCATAAGAAGTGTGTTGACAAGTGGCTGAAGGAAATTCATAGGTAAATCTTGCCCCTTGTTCATATTCATAAAATTCTAAAACAGGATTATTGATGTTTGAATTGTAAAGTGGCCAAGCCTGCCACATCTAAGATTGCAGTATTTTTGGTGATCTTGTTCTAAGTGGGGGCTTTAGGAAAAAAAAATAAAAAATCAAACCATAAGATTCAACCAGTAGATTACAATTGAATTTAGTACATTGATGAATATGAGCTTGTTCAGGCCAAGATTTTTTAACCTGCTAAAGCTGCACCATACAAGACAATTTTGCTGCACATGTAGACAATAGCATGAACATGTTATGCATACAAGAAACTACAATGCGTCTGATTATAAAGGCAATGTGATGTGGTCCTATTCTCCTTTTTAACTAATTTCATGTGTTACACGGGGAGACATATTTTTGAGGGGTTCAAAAGGAAGATTATGTAGGTTTGCTGTCCTTTTATAAATTGCCGGCAATGAATTTTTATTCTTATCTAGCAGTGGTAGGTATGTGCTCCAAGGAAAATCTAATTTAGACTTATAAATCATATATTCATTATTGTTGACTTTTGGATGCTTGTGATCCTTGATTGCACATGTCAAATGCTCTTTAAATTGTCTAATATCCTTCGAGTGTAGCTGAGCGTGATAATGACTTTGGATCATTACCGGTGAGGAACTGGGGCAGGGAGTTCCCTGTTCACCATTGGGCACTTGCAGTTGCCGGTAAAACATTTGGGTATTGAGCAAAGAGCACAAAAGGGGAGATTGTGTAGGTGATTAAAGTGAAGAGAATAGTGTTAAGGGCTGATCATTTTAAAAGTGGCTTTTTGAAGTAGATTAAATGCTCTATTTGGTTTCTGGTATTGTCAATGACTTCGACAGGCCATCTTGATGATGATGTGTGTCAAGGGAGAGGGGGGGTTAATTTAGCCTTTGGGGTTTGGTGAGGGAGGGGGTGGTGGGAGTTAGTTAAGAATCTTAAGATTTTGGAAGGTGCAAGGGGAGGAATAAAATCTGGATCTTGTATGACTTCAATAATTTGAAATAAAAGTAATGTGCAAATGCTGAACTTGTTATTAATAAATAATTGGAGCAGATGACCGTCTACTTTTTAAACAGAGATTATTGAGAGTGTGGGTGTATGGGCCCAATCTTAGAGAAATATAGGAAGATTTACTATAAGAATACTTTATTTCCTTTTAGGACATCTTTAAATGGAAGATGTTAACTTGTAGGGGACTGTTGTAGTTTTTATTCCAATTTATACTAGGCACTGATTTATGTCATAATCTCTAATCTTTATTAAACATCATGTAATGTGTTGCATCCCTTACAATGGTTGGGAATATCTATACAAGTGTGATGAACTGATATTATACAGACCATATGTGTGTTTGTATGGTTTATTTACACAAATCTGAACCCAGGTCTTGAATAACTAGGCTACTCATAGTTGGTATCGACTGTATTTTAAGATAACCTCCTTCAAATATTAAGAGAATGCCATGGTACATCTCCATCACTATTCTCCTACGGGGCTGCTTAATTTAGAAAAAGATGAAGAATACTGAAAAATGTAGCTCAAGGAGTACTGAAAAAGGTGGACTTTTGTAGGTAATGAGAAGCTTAAAATATGTATGTCACAGTTTTTGGGTAAGACAAAGAGAATAAGGAAGAAGTAAAAGAGGCGCAGTAGAGAAAAAGATCAAGGTAAGTCTAGCTTCGTTTACTTGCCCGGAGTGAATCTGTTACCGGTATAAACTGTGCAAGATCAGGCCACAGACTGGCATAAACCCATGGAAATCACATTGCTGTACCACCCCCTACCCTTGAGCTGACCACTAGGTTTTTGAAGTGAAGGGTAATGCTTGGTTTCTAAAAATGTCTAGAACAAGGGGGAGTGTATGCAAGTCAAGGGGATGCTCTATATCTATGCCATCTATAAAAGTTGTGTTTAGATGCTGTGTATCAATTTGGCTTGTATCTGTAAACAATCTTAACATCCAAAATTCTTCTATTTGGCTTGTATCTGTGAACCAAACGGGGAACGATGGGATTTTTTCCAAAGGTTCTTCAAAATCAAAATAATTTAGTTGACTGTAGAAAAACCAGTTAATGACACAACAAATGTGGCTGCATTATGCATTAGAAATTTTATAATAAGTAAGAATGTGAAACCTTTAATTTTATAATTACATTCAGTCATGATTCTCTCAAGATTTGAAAATGCTCTGTTTTATTAGTTTCTTGTCACATGTGAGGATTGCTTGTCTTGGAGGCTTGCACCTGAATATTTTTGTTCCAAATTTGAATTGTTATACTAACTCTCATAAAATAGTCCAATAATTGGCCCACTGATGTAATTAAGTGGGCCTGTCCAGTCAAAGATTTGCAATAGATTGATACATCTGGTTGGAGTGTTGGTCAGAGCGGCTTTGCATAAATTTATGAAGACAGTGAACTGGAGCAGATTGAACCTGTGATACCGTAAAAATGTATTGACGGAGTGGATTCGATGATTACTAATCATATCATAATAATTATGGATAGTAGCAGCTTTAACAGTGGAAAACTTTTCACTGACGTGGTGTGGTAGATGATGAGTGAATTATAGATGAATTAATGGAGAGAAGTGGCTATGTTTAGAAAAATAATTTTTCTTATAATCTCATTAGTCAGCTGTCAACCCTGTTGATGTAGTTAATCTGTTCCATGTACTGCCTCTTACAAGTCCCAAGTTGCTCGCTTTAACACCTATCATCACAAATTGGTCGCTGCTCTTGTTGTGTGTTCGATTGTTCCTTTTTAAAATATGCCTTTTTTTGGATGCTTACATCCTTAACCGTCTATATTCCTTGTTGCTCAGGGTATGTCCGCTTTGTCGTGGAGACATTTGCAAATCGGATTCGACGCAGTAGCTGTTGAGAGTGGAGGCGGCTGTTAGCATTGTGTTTACTAGGAGAGTGTACAAAAATATAAATTGTTTTGTGAAGCCTGTGATGCTCTCGGGAGATTTGTGATTTTCCTGCTTAGGCTTTTGTTCCCTTGACCTTCTGATACTGGTCACTCGAATGAAGATTCGATAGTCAAGTTGTTGTAACATTATGAAGTGGTTGATATCTAATTACTGCCCATAAAGATCAGCAAGAGAATACAACAAGATAGTGTGGCATGACATTGGACAGGAGATCAATGCACCATTTCCAAACCATTTCCTGAATTTTTTCAACTGTCATGAATGTACGTGGGTGTTGTATGTTACATATAGCTCGAGTCTATTTGCTTTGTTTCGGTTGGATAGCCTTGTGAATATTGTGCAATCAGGAGCTGATTCAACCTGTATCCATTAACTGTTAAATGTAATATCCCATTCCAGTTATTTAAGTCATTCTTTTCATTGAGTAATTATGTTTTAAGCTGTATAGAGCTAATCAGACTAATTTTAATGGTGACAGACACAATATTAAGTTTGGGATCTTAGAACGAGAAATCGTCCTTTTTTTTTTCTTTTTTTTCCCTCATGCTCCCTCCATTTCTGATTAATCATAACACTTAGCTTGGTAAGGCAAAAACATAGTGTGAAAATGAGAACCATACTGAGGATTTTATAATACTGTAAGTACGGTTGGTATGAGTATTATTTGATGATGGGAAAGAGAAAGAAATAGTAGTGAAAGTGAGATTAGTGGAGAGAAATAATGAAATAATAGTAGACTTTTACCAAATAAAGAAGTGTTATAATTAATACGAAACAGATGAAAAAGGTAAGTGTTGCAATTAATCTCACGTGAAAGAAGTTGTAATTATTGTAGAAACCTATTTAGGGCCTGTTTTCATTGACTGAACTCAGCTGAACTGAAATGAATTGAGTTGAACTGAACTGAACTGAAATGAATACTTTGTAAGAGAAGGAAATTAGGAGCTGAATTGAGTTGAACTGAATTTCAACGTAAGAGAACATGCCCTTATTCATGGAGTGTCGACTTACGGACCTCCAAATCATCTTAATGCCCATGCGAGATGTGTATCATTGAATTAGAGGACTAAGTACTCAATCAGTCAATCCCCTATTATTTGCTCAAACCTTTTTTTTTTTGATTGTCCTTTTAAGTTTATTCCATGTCTTAAATAGTCATAAAAGTTCGCTTTGATACTCGCAAAAAATATTGGTGATTCCACCAATGTTCTTTCCGATGAACTTTATACAACCAAAACTTAATAAAATGAACCTTATTCATATGGAGCAAACAAAAGATTACGAAGGGAGCTTTAGGTAAGAGTGGATTGTATTGAGTGAAAGCAATAGTATGATGTGAGCTTTTAACGGAAAATAAAATAAAATCTACATCTATTCCCCACCATATATATTTGTTTAATTTAATTTTGTTTTTTCGGTGGAATATTTTAGTTATGGCTAGCTACATGGGGATTATTATAAGTAAACAACCCAATAATTAATAATGTTAGGTGCATTGTTTCCAAACTTTTACTTTAATACATTAGTTTAAGTCATTTTAAATGCATAATATAACTATATATATATATGACTTATTATTTTGTATAATAGAGTCCGGAGTAATTTCAGTTATACACAATATAGACTGTAAGTGATAAGCTTTGCATATTTTTTTTTTAAATAAAAATAAACTTTGAATATTTTCTTTAAGCTTTCAATCTTAGTTTGTAATTTACGTTAATATCCATGTGAGTTGACGTGATATTAGGATTAGTTCCATCATTTCCATACAAATTTCATATACTCTATATTCGTGGTATTAATTCAGATAACTTAGAATTTGTTATATACAATAGGATGTATCATACACCCAACTAACATAAGATTAGCTTTTGCTTTTCATTTGATGATTAAATGAAAAACAATCATCAAAATGAGAACAAAAACTCATTGATATACGACACACTCGGGTGTATATAACAACCTCTAAGTCGTGTTTGGTGAGGTTGGGTCATGTAGTGTTTATATTAAATTAGAGACACGTTAAATTATTGTATTCATACAAGAGTGTTACTACTCCCCTTACCACTACAAGGCCCTATAAACTGCTTCTTAAAGCTAGCTCACCTCCTTTCTCTCTCCTCTGACCAGCTCAACATCACCTTCCTCAACGCCGAATTCGTCCACCAACGTCTCCCCGACCTCCCGTCTCGCTTTCCTCGAGTTAAATTCTCCCAATTTTCCGATGGAATCTCCGGCGACGACCCCCGGCCTCCGGCGAAGTTTGCCTCCATGGTGAGCTTCTATGAAGCCGAGGTCATCCGAAGTTTGCCGGAGTTTCTGGAATCTCCGGCGCCGGCGACGTGCTTGATCGCTGACGGGGTGTTTACAGCGGTGGGTGAGAAAGCGATGGAGTTGGGGATTCCGGTGGTTTATTTCTCGACTCTGAGTCCTTGTTGTATTTGGGCTAGCTGCTTTTTTGTTCCTAAGCTTTTTGATTCTGAGTCCTTTAGGTTATTGCCGTATTAGGCATCAACTTATATACTTCCTCCGTTACGCATTATGTGCAACAAATAGATTGACACGAACTCCAAGACAAAAGATGTTAAGCCTTGATTAGTAAGATTAAAGGGCAAGTGATTAAAGAGTGGTATGTCTAATAATTTACCACATCACCACCAACTAACACCCCTCCACCACCACTATTATATCCGTACACCACCTGAAACCCTACCACCAGCACCACAACCAGAAACTCCACCACAACCACGGCCACAAACTCCACCAGAGAAATCCCAAAACCAAGGCCACCACCAAAAAAACTCCGCAAATCCGCCATCACCAGAAACGACAACCCCGACAACCACCAGCGAAACTCTGTAACCCCGACAACCAGAAACGACCACCACCACCAGAAACTCCGAAATCCACCTGAAATCCCGAAGCCCCGACCACCAGCACCACAATCCCGAAACCCCCACCGTACTAGTGAGATCCCAAAACCCCCACCATACCAGCGAAATCCACCATCGAAATCTACCATCGAAATCCACCAGCGAAATTCAGCCAAATCGCACAAATCGCACACCCAATTCTCTTTTATTTATTGTTTCGAATTTCAATCTGAAATCCTTGGTGGTGGCGGTGGCGGCGATAAAGAACGAAGATGAACCCTAAATGAAGATGAAGAAGATGATGTTGGTGGTTGCAATGGTTCAGCATCGAAGGTGTTTATGGTGGCCTTGGTGTCGGTGGTCTGGTGTCGAAGGTGCTGGTGGTTTGGTACGGTGGTTCTCATGGGTGGTCGGTGATGATGGTGGTGGTCGGTGATTATGGTGGCAGGGTAGAGAAATGGGTTTTTAACTTTTTAATTATTAATGTAAATAATCTAAGGGGCCGTTTGATTCGCGCGGGGGAATCGGAATGGAATGAACAAAGGGAATGTAGGAGAATGGAATGAAACCCTTTCCAAGTACTGTGTTGTTTGGTTTTCAATAAACAAAGGGAATCACCATCACCACCACACATCCCCTTTCTTCACTTTTCCAGCCACCAGGAGCCACCCCACCGCCCAGCCACAACGTCGACGGAAATTGGCAGCCCTGGGCGCACCTCCTCCACCCCTCGCAGCCCCTAACCTCCCCGGAAAAAACTTCCACCACCACGCAAAAACCCTAGAAAACACCATCCCTCCCCTTAAAAACGCCGGCCAACCTTCCCCCGCCCTCGAAACCCTAGCCGCTAGGGTTTCGAGGGTGGGGGGAAGGTCGGCCGGCGTTTTTAAGGGGAGGGATGGTGTTTTCTAGGGTTTTTGCTTAGTGGTGGAAGTTTTTCCGGGGAGGGGAAGTGTTTTCGAGGGGAGAGGTGGGGGAGGTGCGCGGGCTCCGGCGAGTTGTGGGGGAAGTGCGGCGAGTCCGGCGGTGGGGACTAGGTCCGTGGCGAGGTGGTTGGGCTAGTTCCGGCAAGTACAATGGTGGTGGCTAGGGAAAGGGAATGGGAAAGTCTGGGGGGGTGGGGAATCAATGTAGACTAAAAATGGGTGAACTCAAAAATAAAAATGGGTAAAGGGAATCAAAAAAGTGACAAACAAACAACAACAAAGGGAATGATATCAGTTCATTCCGATTCCCTTTGATTATTAACCCCAACCAAACGGCCCCTAATTAATTTTAATTAGTAACTAAAAATAGTGCTATTAGTTTTTAAATAGGGGTATTATATTAATTTCATATTAAAAAAGTTACCAAAAAAGGAAAGAAAAAGTTTGTCGCACATAATGTGTAATTTCCCTTTTTGGCAATTGTTGCACATAATGCGTAACGGAGAAAGTACTTGAGTTACGTCCTCTATTTTTTAAAAAAATACTTGTAACATTTTTTTAGAATGTTATTTGAGAAAATATTTAGAAAAGGTAAATACTAAATAGATGAATTATGCTATAAAATTTAACTAGGTAACACTTTCTTAAAAGTAGTGGAGTAATGTTGGTATTTCCAAGTTTGAGATGAGAGGAATGAATAAGAAAAGAAACTAAATAAAAAAATTGATACTTATATATCTGAAAGGGTTTGCCCTAATTAAGGGCTAAGCCAATCAAGGTGAACAACCAGGTTGACTAATTAACTAGCCATTTCTAGTTGCAAATAGTTGATTAAATTAGATTATATTTTGATCAGCTTTAATTCTGATAAAGCTATGAAATTATGTCAGTTATTTCAAAGAAAACTCTAAACATGTTTTGTAGATCTAGTAGCTCAAGCATCAACTTATTTAATTTTTCCTCGTTTTGATTGAATGAATTCATAGTTGATCGCGCTCATTATGACTGACTTTTGTTTCAATATGTAGGAAAGGACCTCAATGAGCCAATAAGTGACATTCCAGGAGTAGAAGGGACCGCCTTAAGGTGGTGTGACCTTCCAGGTATATGCCGAACTCAAGACATTACAAACCCTTACATCCAACTAGTACTTGAAGAGTGCCGAAAATTGCCAAAGGCTCAAGGACATATACTTAACACTTTTGATGACCTAGAAGGACCTCTACTTGATGAACTCCATTCTCTTTGTCCTAACCTATACACAATTGGTCCAGTTCACTTGCACTCTAGGACTAGACTACAACTAGAATCTGAACAACGAGTGACATCCAACAGTTTATGGCAAGAAGATAGAAGCTGCATATCATGGCTTGATTCCCAACCCTCAGAATCAGTGATTTTTGTTAGCTTTGGGAGTGTGGTTCCTTTGACAATGGACCAACTATTTGAGTTTTGGTATGGCCTAGTGAATAGTGGAACGCGATTCCTTTGGGTTAGGCGGCCTGACTCACTAGTTGGAATTGAAGATAATGATGATATCTTCTTACAAGTCCCAACAGAACTTGCTGAAGGAACACGAGATAGGGGCTACATTGTAAAGTGAGCGCCACAAGAAAAGGTCTTGGCGCATGGAGCCGTTGGTGGGTTTTTGACTTATAGCGGGTGGAACTCTAAACTAGAGAGCATAGTGGAAGGAGTGCCTATGCTTTGTTGGCCTAATGGTATCGATCAACTGGTGATTAGTAGGTTTGTGGGCGACGTGTGGAATATTGGAATTGACATGAAAGATATATGTGACAGAGCTGTGATTGAGGCTATGGTGAGGGATCTTATGGAGGGAAGAAGGGATGAGTTTTCACAAAGGGCAAATCGATTGTCCAAATCAGCAGCTCAAGCTGTGAGGGAAGGTGGGTCGTCGTGGCTAGCATTACATCGTCTTATTGAGGACATAAAATTCATGAGATTTAAAGTCACAAATGATACATAATGGAATTGCATAAAATTGGATAGTTGATATTTATATCAGATGTAATATGCATTCTGCAATAAAATAATTTTTTTTACCTTGTAACCATTTTAAACTTGTAAGTTGTAAAATTTGGAAGTTCACATAATGAAAAGTTTACAATCAAACCCCATTTGTGGCACACGTAGTAAACTTTGATATTATAATGATTTATAGACTCACTTGGTCTAAGGGGATCTTTGGATCATCATTGAAACTTCTCTCGTCGCGCTACTTCCAAAGCCACCAACACACTATCGAAAAATTTGTACTAGTAACATTCATTTTATTCAACATTAAAGAACCAAAACAATAATAAATTAGCAAAAAACTAATTTCATTCAATAATAAGTTTTTTTCTCAATCATCAATCATAGAGTAGTAATAATATTTATAAAATCAAGACAATAAATAAATGAAATCTTTTGTCAAAGGAAAAAATCAATAAAATCACTAGTTGCAAGTATGTACTTAGTTGTTAATTGTTAAAAGATTAAAATTTGCCAACTAATCTTCTCTCCCCTTTTTCCCTCTTTATCTCTCCTCCTTCATTCCCCACCACCACCCACCCACCATTATCGCACACCTCAAGAATTTCTCCCCTTTTCTTCTTCAAATGTTCCCTTTTCCCAACAATTTCCCAAACCCCTAATTTTCCCAGATTTCTGCTGTTTCAATTTCGGAAATTAGGGTTTTGATTTCTTCAGTTTTTCAATCAATGTCGCAGCTCAAAGCAATTGGTCACATGGCGGATGATATCCCATCAACCCCAGGAAAATTCAAGCCTGAAAAATCATCGATTTACTTCAATAGAATTCGATGGTACTCTTCTGTCTCTAAACTTACCCTTTGGTCTTTCCTCTTTCTCTCTCTTCTTCTCTTCCTCTTCTTCGCTTCCCCTCGTTTTGATTCTTCCCACCGACACGGGGATACTTTCCAGGCCGTGTCCAAAACCACCGCAACCGCCGCCACTTGGGGTGGTCACGATTGGGAGCGCCGTGTTCGGCAATCTGCACGGGTGAAACAGGGCACACACGGGTTGACCGTGCTCGTAACTGGCGCATCTGGGTTTGTTGGGACCCATGTATCAATGGCGTTGCGAAGGAGAGGAGATGGTGTTCTGGGTCTTGATAATTTCAATGATTACTATGACCCTTCTTTGAAAAGATCTCGTCAGAAGCTTCTGGAACGTGCTGGAATCTTCGTGGTTGAAGGGGATATCAATGATCGAGATCTTTTGACGAAATTGTTTGATGTTGTTGCGTTTACTCATGTGATGCATCTTGCTGCTCAAGCTGGGGTAAGGTATGCAATGGAGAACCCTAAATCTTATGTCAATAGTAATATTGCTGGACTGGTTAATTTGTTGGAAGTTTGTAAATCTGCAAATCCTCAACCTTCGATTGTTTGGGCTTCTAGTAGTTCTGTTTATGGATTGAATTCTAAAGTTCCATTTTCTGAAAAAGATAGAACTGATCAACCTGCTAGTTTGTATGCTGCTACTAAGAAAGCTGGGGAGGAAATTACACATACTTATAATCATATATACGGGTTGTCCATTACCGGGTTGCGGTTCTTTACGGTGTATGGACCTTGGGGTAGGCCGGATATGGCGTATTTCTTCTTTGCTAAGGATATGTTGAAAGGGAAGCAGATTAAGGTGTTTGAGGGACCGAATCATTCGACTGTTGCTAGGGATTTTACCTACATTGATGATATTGTGAAGGGGTGTTTAGGGGCGTTGGATACGGCCAAGAAGAGTACCGGGACTGGTGGGAAGAAGAAGGGGCCGGCGCAGTTTAGGATCTTTAATTTGGGGAATACTTCGCCTGTTAGTGTTACCGAGTTGGTCAGTATATTGGAGAAGCTGCTTAAGGTTAAGGCTAATAAGAAGATTTTGCCGCTGCCTAGGAATGGGGATGTCCCATACACACACGCGAATATCACATTGGCTCAGAAGGAGCTCAATTATAAGCCTTCTACTGATTTGCAGACGGGGTTGAAGAAGTTTGTTAGATGGTATTCGAGTTACTACTCAGACTCGAAGAAGAAGAGTGGCTCTGTTTGGTGAAATTGGAGCTTGTGATGTTTGAGGAGATATCGCGCTAGAAGTCTGCTTTCTGGCAATCTGCTGAAATTGGAGGGTTTTTGTTCCATGTTTTCTGTCTGCAGAAGGATACCTCGATTCGAGTATTTGTGGAGGTATCTTCATTGTTTTTTCTGTCCACATATTGCTTTGTTCTTTTAGGGTTAGGTATCACTAATAGTTAGCAAATGTACAGCTTCTGAATTCAGACTACAACTTTACAGTTTCAATAACACTACGCCGGTTCATTTATGTTTTGTTATGATCTTAAATACCAGTTGCAATACTTTTAGATTGGTAGATGAGGTTTTGTCCAAACTTGCTCTGTATTTTACTAGATTTTATTGATATATTGCACTTTGATTTATCTATTTTTTCTGTGTCTATATTCAGTATATGTATGGAATGATACCCCCTTCCCCTCTGTTAGTTATTCTTGATTTGCGGGTGTATGTATAGGATTATAATTGCTTCAAGACCGTGCAGTGTATAATTTGCTATTCTTGACTAGCTCTTCCATCGGCTCCTCCATTTTCCCTCCCTTCACGGTGAGGATAACGCTATGAAATCAGGATGATAATTACATCATCTAGTATGTTAGAGCTTTCAATATTTATCATTTATTCCAAAAACCAGAAATTATTTGGTGATTAGGAGCCTAATTGAACTAGTCAAAATAAACTAAATTCTTATCCTATGAGATGGACCAAAGAATGTAAGGCGTATGATTTTGCCTTTGGAGTTTCATGAAGGAATGGTTTTGTGTATAAGCTCTATAGGGATTTTGGTGTATAGTCTTTATATTTGATATCTCGAGAGGTTAAATTGTGTTACGCTAAAGAGCATTACTATTGAGTCCTATAGGCATAGATGCTTCAATTACCATATTATGGGTCCTTGGCCTTGCCACATGTTACTTATGCCTATGCCCAGAAGATTAAAATTCAATACTCTACTGCATTTGGTTAAATGATTTGACTGATTGTTCTATGGTTCTTTTGATCTTCTGTGCTACATAGTAATATAGACAACGATGCAGGATTCTGCTGATACTGTGTAGCCAGAGCAGACTTGAACCTCTGGTAATGCTAGAGATCACCACAACTTGCTCCCTCATGGGATATCTGTTAGCAGGAGAGCTGGCATTTGTTATGGTTTTGATGGACCCCTATTGCTTTATATAGTCTGGTTGTCTTTGATGCTGAATGACTTGTAAATCTGTTTTTCTGTTTGGACAACGACATTACTTGTAAATTCTCAGAGTTTTTGACTTTTGAGGTGAACTAATGACATTCACATGAGATTTATGTACTGATATTCACAATTCATAGTTTGAACAGCCGTTACACTTTTTTGGAGTGCTGAAATCTAATTTTTCACTTATGCAGTTTTGAGTTGATTCACCGTGTCTTGCCTGCTGCCTGCTATATCCTTGTGGTTCAAGGACTTCAACGATTGCAGGATCGATGAATGGGTTTTATTTGCTGCTTGTGACATGATTTGTTGATTAAACTCTAATTTCATGTCAAGTTGCAATATGATCACATTATGCAATAAGGCCTGCCTTGAAATTCGTACATTTTGCTTTAGTAGTTGTATTGCAAATGTTGCAGCTGCGACTGTAATGTTTTTTAAAAATCTGAAAGTTGAAGTTAGTGGCTTTCTTTTAAAATTCAGGAATCATTCTACCATTCTTCGGATTGGAAAAATCAATGTTATTGATGGTTAATTGATCAGATCTTTGATTTTTTTGGCTGAATTGTTGCTTTTCTTGAGATTAGAAGTTTCCTCTCCTGATTAATGGCTTTTCTAACGGCGGCTTTTTGGATTTGGTCTTGATTGAGCTTAGAAGTTGTTTATTTTCTGGATTTGGTTAGTTATGGCTGCTGCTGTTTAAATTATTGTGCTTAAGAATTTCTTGGTGGACGGCTGTGTTGTTTTGTTGTCTTGATAGGCTAATTACTAGTACTCTAAAATACAGCTTATCCCCTCAGACGTTGCAATTTGAAAAAAGAACCGAGGAAGTGTCATTTGGTTAGTGGTGAGTTGGTGACCATCTTTGGTCAGTCATGTAGCCATCCAGCCATGGTGTTCTAAACTCAAATTCACTTACGTATAAAAGTAACCTTGTACATCCAAATTAAGCTAGAGTCATTCTTAGACCTTGCAATCTTGACCTGCGACCCAAAAGTTGACCCGAAAATGACATGAACCCTAACAAACCCGACCCGAATGTGACCCAATGCTCGAAATAACCCGACTCAGTGACCCGACCCAATTTTAACCCGAATGGATTGACCCGACCCAAAGTGACCTGATTCCTGAAGTGAATAGGGTGTAATGGTACTCACGGTTTTTTTTTTCAATGATTTTACTTTATTTTTCCAACTTTTTTAAAAAATGAATTTATTTTGGTGACTTGACACAAACTTGACCTGACATGAAATTAACTCGAAAAATGGTCAAACTCGAATTGACTCGACCCAAAGTGCTAACACGAAACCCAAATTGACCCGACCCAACCTAAACCTGGCCTAAACAATTGCTGACCCAAAATCGACCCGACCCAAACGACCCGTTTGACAGGTCTACATTCTACGTGCTTTCCCATGTATTTTTAATTGCAACACTTTGACTTTTACACTTGTCAATGCATAATTTTAACCCTCCATAATTTTAATTATAGATAAATAATAATAAAAAAAAAAAGTAGTTATTGTAAAATTATAAATTAACAAAGAAGGCCAATTGCAAATGTGTAATCATTTAAGTGTTGTAACTAAAAATTAAAAGGGGAAAGTATATGATAGGTCCTTTGATATTGCATCTCAATATTCCACTTTACCATACCAATATAATTTGAAGTAATTTAACCTAATCTTAATACTAGTATTTGGGACTTGGGAGCAGAGGGAAGTAGTAAATGATTGTGAGAGAATTCCATCGTTAGAGAATTTGTCAATTGTGCTACCAACACTAGACCAGTCCTTGTTGAAAATTTTAACTACCTACGTAAAGATATTCTGGTTGAAAAGTCGGTGTTTACAAATTATTAATCACAGTATTCTTACCAAAACAATTAAAGAATAATCACATCTAGTACAAAACAATTCAAACAAGTTTACATCAATATAAATAAAAATTGAGCCGGCGATAGTTCTCACACTTGCATTAGCTAAGTTTGAACTTTGACACAGCCAACCTTTCGAGGCCAGAGGCCTTGACAGTATGTTCCATCTGCATACAAATTTCAGAGATCAGCAGCATAACCTAACCTTCCATTCCATTGAAAAATTGAACATATACTATTCACAGTCTTCAACACTGTAACGACTAAGTTTACACATAACAGCTCCCAATCTTTCTTTTTGTCTCCAACTCTCAAATATGAGTTTTTTGAGCTATCAAAGGAAAGTTTCTGTTTTCCTAACGATGCTCAAAGGAGGGGAAAGAAGAAACAGAAATTTTGAGCAGAAACTTGACATCAAAATGTCTGAACAATGATCATCTCCACGACTCCATATTGGAAGCTCACTTCTTTTTTAATCACATAGATCAAGCAGGCGAATTATTTTATAATTACCTCAAAAAGTTTGTGGGATTCAACTGTCATGCGTCGGATGTTATTGCAAATTTTTGACTCCCTTTCCTGTCAAGGGAACCTTGTGTCATGCATGAGAACCAGGCCTTCTTTTCTGAGGCAACACCTACACTTCAGCAAAAAAGAGCATTTGCATAACAGTTTGTTTTACTTACAGTAAAATTAAGAGAAAAAAAAAAATTGATAAAAGGCTTTGCTTATATCATGGAAATTTAACTCAAGTAAGCTTATTTAGATCACATAATCACTGTATCACGTCCCTCAATTCTGTTACTAATAACCCCGTTACCATGGGAAAATTAAAAACATGGGAGTGGGATCACTGTCACTGCCAGATACAATTTTCAGAACAGAGCAATGAGGGTAAGGCTCCAAAAAATTTGCTCATGATTTCTCAATCCCATTCCCATAAAGCCATAATGATTCCCTAGCACAACATTAGCCATAATGGCATACATACTACTCTGACTCTTCAAGCACATTCAGATATTGCAGCATAAAAGAAGCTTGAAAATATGATAATCCCAGAAAGAACATTCTGATTTCAACATCAAACATCATATGTGATGAGGACCTAACTACACATAAAATAAGTACACACTCTTTAAGTACACAAGATATGTTTGTTCATTTTTGAAAGCTCTTCAATATTTGAGTTTTCCAGTACATTGATGCACACTTACCAACCCCCCCCCCCCCCCTCTCTCTCTCTCTCTCTCTCCTCTCCTCTCCTCTCTCTCTCTCTTTTCTGAGAGTAAATTAAATATGAGTCTCTTAAGCATAATTCCAACTCCATACATGAGTATATGCTGAATATGCGCAACTATCTCCATCAAAAAATGATAGTACCTATCATTCTTTTCCAGCCACACCATTGATCAAACTACCAAACCTCTGAAATAATTAATGTTGCAATTCCACAAGTATTTGTTTCTCCAAAAAGTAAGATGAGAATTGAGAAGTTTGCTGGTGAGCCATCTTTGGATTTTAATTACTTTGGTTGTCACTATGTTTCTGACAGTAATCTTGATATAGGAATGTAAAGGCAAAGATCCTTTTGACATTTTCATTGATAAGGGCCTGTAAATCCAAATTTAGCTATATAAGGAAATCTAGAAAGAAGAAAAGATATGTAGCTGTGTTTTAAATATAGTGGACAATATTAGCAAAAAAACGTTAAGAGATAGGACATGGATTTATCGGCTATCATCTTGACCTATAGGGAAAAAGGTGAAGAATATAAGTCCCAGAAACCTAATTAAATCCGTCATACTTTAGGCCAGTACATTGGGTTCTAGATTGATCATTATTCAAATCATCACATGTCAATAGCTCTAAATTAAGTTCCAAGGTAACATTTTTGGATAATTTGTCAATTACTACCGCAAGTTAATACCACTTTGTAAATTACTACCGCAAATTAAAAAAATTGTGAATTACTACCGCAAATTTTTTTAAGATGTTGCGATTACTACCAAACCCCCATTAAACCCAACTATGACGTCATTATATCCCTTTAACCCGTGTTTGACCATGGTTAAGGGCTATAACCAGCCCCAAAAAAAAAGAAAATGGGTTAGGGATATAATGACGACATGGTTAATGGCTTTAACCATGGGTTAAAGTGATATAATGACGTCATAGTTGGGTTTAATGGGGGTTTGGTAGTAATCGCAACATCTTAAAAAATTTTGCGGTAGTAATTCACAACTTTTTTAATTTGCGGTAGTAATTTACAAAGTAGTATTAACTTGCGGTAGTAATTGGCAAATTTTCCAACATTTTTTATAGGGTGGGTTTTGAAATGTACAATGTAGAACGATTGATTAGGAATTACCAAGCCCCTTTCTTAATGTTACTAAAGATCTCAGCAGATGAGGATCAGTATATTTCAGGACATAAGAAGAGAATAAGAAGCCAGAAGCAGGGAAAAATAAGAAGTCACATATCATGTAGTCGTAGGCCGTCTTATAGAGGAGGTGGAATATAGACATTCAATGAGTACAGCTATCAAATTCAATGGATACATTATTCAAGCAGATCAGTAATACTTTTCTTTTGCTCAAGCAACTCAATGGACATACAAGAACACCATATATGGCATGCAAATATTGAATACATAATTCTTTGGGTACCTTAGTCATTCTGAAATGCACACTGCATGACAGAAAGGTGGAATGTTGTAGTTGTCATAGGATCCAAGTCCTAAATTTGCCTACCCCGACCCTCCACAATTGGTGGGGAGAGGGGTAGGGCTGAATTTTCCTTACTCTTGCAAATGCTATTAATAGCATTCTGGCAATGTTTATCACTTCTAATTCCACAAATATTATATTAACATATGTCGGAAAAAATAACCCAAAAAAAAAATAAAACAACGCTGATTTTTACATAATTCACTAACAAATTAACAATGTGTTCACTATGTCCATAAAGACAGAGTAGCTATGTTATAGTGTTTTACCCTGCTCCAATTGGTATAAACTGAATAGGCCTAGAATACACACCAAACCAACTTAGTGACCCTTTCCACACCCCTACTAAAACAACAGATGTGTTACCGAAGACTGTTTAGGGAAATGGTCAAATGGCTTCCTGGCTAGTTGAAGGAGTAGGCTATAGTTCATGACCTCTCAGTCACAACTCAAAACAGTATGGGCAGTAAGATCTTCAACATGTTTGTAGTTTTCATTGAGTGTTTTCTTTCTTTCTTTTTTTTTTTTTTTTTATTTAAAGAAATGCTATTGTTAATACGAAAGCTTATCAGCATCCTGATCAATTATTTAATGTCTACATGTACTAGATGTCCTGCATCCTTGAGTTCTAATCAAGGGTTAACTGGTGGCCAGTGGACAGAGATCATCAATAAGCTGATCTGATTGTTTCGAAGTAAAAATAATCAATTCATCACTACTGTGTTCATGACAGTGTCCTCAATCGTATATTTGCTCCCACTAATCATGGAGACTTTAGTTTTCAGTTTCTTAGATTCCAGACCTCAAGACATTTTTATGGATTTTAGACGTCAACATATTGCTCAATGATTCACAAATTAAAATATTTGAGGCAAAATTAACTCCATCAACAATATCAACTCCAAAATTAACTTTGATAGTTATATGAACCACTAGTGCATGCATTACTTTTAAAAAATGAAAGGGAAACTATCAGGAGAGATCAGGGGAAACTTTTTTACTTGGTCTACCATCTCACTGTATTAAGGCACACATTCCTATTCTGCAGTATCAATCCAACCATGGGTTTAAGAAGCAAAGATATAAACCAATTCAAAGCTTTTTCAAAAGTGGATACACGAGAATTGTTTTCTCACAAGTGCGCTGCAGCTGATGTCATTCTCTAGATTCAATTACAGGTAGCAAGAATTATCAAACATAGTACATATGCAAGTCCACATGAATTAATATTTGAGCTAGATAAGAAAATGGAAGGAAAACATGAGTAAACTTATATTTATAAGCAACTAAGTATAGAGCAAATGCTTACATGTACACCTATAACCTTCAAGAACCCTCCCAAGACCCACTTAGACGCAGTGTTAAATTTCACAGCCATGTCACATCAACAGCAATAGCTTAGCTATAAGGTCAATGTGATGCATTGAAAAGGGTACAGTAAATAATAACTCACATTGATTCAGTGGAACTCTCTGCTGCTTTCTTTGCAATCGTATCATCCTGTCAATCAAATAATTCACGAAGGATGTCCTTTCATATGTGTGTCTACAATCAAGTCAACGGATTTGAAGATGCACCATCATCCACTGGATCCAATTCCCACCAAGGTCTATCATCATTGTGGAGCAAACGGTCATGATCTTCTTCAATTGAATCATCAGTATCTTCCTCCTCAAGCTGAACATCCTCAAAATCACAGGCATTACTCCCTTTACAAACATCTCTTTCCAGATCTGGATTATAAGACCATTCCAGTCTCTTCAAAACATCGCGATCTTTCCACTGGCCTACAACTGAAACCGCCTGCGTTTTAGCCTTACCAACCAAAATATCCCGCCAAGAAAAAGAGGCATCCGCATTTCTCTTCAGCACCCCATCATGATTGTCACCAACGACAACAGTCTTGAGACATCTCTCCTTAGCCTCCTTCAAGACACCCAAAAAATCAGAATCATCAGAGACAATGACCAAGCATTGTATTCGCCTATGATCCATCATATCCACTATATGACTCCTTAAAGCAACATCAGCTGCTTGTGGTTCATCAGACACCATCTTCACCCAAAAGCCAGCACGTTTCAAATCGTCCCCTAATCCGTATCCAACCTTGGGAGTCAAAATATCCCGTGCAGCATTCTTATATTTCTCCATCTTCATTGCATATTTCCCAACCAAAGTAACCCTCTTCTTCCCTTTTGCAGACTCTATCTGCTTCAGCCTTTTCTGATGCTCCCTCTCATGAACCTTAAAATGCTCAATAAGCTTCTCATTCACCCTAAATTTCCTCCCACAAACCCGACATACATACGGTTCAACAGACCTGATAACTCCCTTGTTTTCTAAACGATTTAACACCTTCCTCTCATTCCTCAACTCCCTAACTGCAGGAGGCACATAGCTAAATGCATGGTGGTTTGCATAAGCAACCATACATCGAACAATCCCAAAAGATGAAACTGCCCTTTTCAATTTAATCGCAGCCTCAAACGGAGAGACCGAATTCGGGGGTTTGTTTTCCAAATCCCAGAAAATCCCTACCTTACTTTGAGGAATTTTCACTAACGATGAATTAATAGATGGGTATTGTTCAAAATGACAAAATCTTGTACATTTAAGACATGGGTCTAGTAATTTTGTTCTTCCTAGATGCAATTCATCCAAAATTCCACAAATTTTAAGAAATTTATGAATGCCCATTATCATAATTGCCTGCAAATCAATCACTCATTTAAATTCACAAACCCAGTGAACAGCAATTCAATATTTCAATCTCTCTAATTGAATTCATTGGAAAAATTTGAAATTAAAAGTAGAATAGATATTTATTGTTAAGTACCTTGTATGAATTGAAATCCAAAAACCACAAGCACAACCTTAATAGTGTTGGCCTGTTGGGCAATGAGCAGCCGCGTGAGCAGCGGGAATACGGTGGAGTAGGATTGCACTGCCAAACCAGGACAACTTTGAACGTCACGAGTAGTTAGTTCACCATGGGAGAGAGAGAAACATGTTTCTTCCGAGGAATTATATGCCCGAGTCAGATATCTTAAAATCGGGAATAAAGTTCTTGAGCTATCCCTCCATTCTATGATTTCTATCTTCTACTCGCAGTAGTGTAGTACTACTTTCTTGTACGGAAGTCCTAATACAAGTTAATCAACCCGATAAACATTAGAAATACCCCTCGTGAGGAGGGCTTCGTAATGATTTTTTTATCTTACCTTTAAAAAAAATATATTAACGGGGATAAATGACATTTTCTATATTAAGCGTATGTTCTCTTCATCTTATTTTCAATTTAGTCTAATTTCCTTCTCTCATAAAATATTCAGTTAACTTCAGTTCAGTTCTGCTAAATTTAGTAAATGAGAACAGACTCTAAGTGAGAGGTATTGTGGTACATTTTCCAGGTACGCAGGCATAAGTGGGACTAATGCCACGTCGCTTCATCAATGTCGGATTGATAGGTCTCCTTCCTCCATCCTCCATTGAAGCTTCAATGAAAGACACAGTCATCCCTACCTTTTGGGGTTGATCATGCCCTAAATTTCACCCTTTCTTCATAGGGTATTCATCTAATTGATATTGTCGATGGAATATGAAGGTGAGGAAGATAGTGGAACGTTGGTGGAGACCGGGGAAGCTTTAATGGTGGAAACATCATTGGTGGTGTAGGTGCCCTTCTACTTATATGTGTTCAGGTGCGAAGCTAGGATTTTCAAGTCCTGGGGGGCGGACTTGTTAAACAACATATTGATGGAAAAAAATTAAAATGTACTAGTATTTTATTGTTACAAAAAAAAAAGAAAGTTGAATCGTACTCTACGATTTTTCATAGTAGCAAAATCATTAGTCAAAGAATTTTTAAGAATACTTGTTTTGTTTGATTTTCTTCTGAAGTTTGAACAATGCTAAAAACAATATGACAAGCTTCATTTACTATATTATATGTGTCTTCATCACTATTAATAATAACTTTTAGAGGAGCCAAGAGTTAATAATCAAGGGCCACAAATCTAGGCCGGGGAGGCCGGGCCTCCACCAGCCCCCCTGGGTCCCTTCGCCCTTCGCCCTTGTATGTGTTGCTCCTCTGTAACATCATAGTTAGAATGACTCCAGCAAAGATTGACACATGGAGTGGGGACTGCCAATGTGTGCACAATCATTTATCTAGAAGATCAATAGGGGTCGACTCTTTCTTTCCAACAAAAAAATAAGGGAAACTCTCTTTGATAACACTATAATTTTTAAATTTCTCAGTGGTGAAATGCGAAAATCTTATTATCATTGGTAAACCTGAATTATTGATTACCAAAGAGAATTGCTATTTTAATATAAATTCACTAGCCATGGTTAATTTCTTTTACTTTTTAATAATTAAATTATTCTTTTAAAAATAACACAAACCTTTCCTCCACTTAGACACCATCTTAGACCACCTAGACTACCACCAACCCAAAACTCCAAATGCCCAAACCACTGCCGGTGACCACCCTCCTCTCTCTCCTCTAACCAAACATTCTCCTCCACCGCTGGTGACCCCCTCATCTAACCAAGCCCTCTCCTCCCACTGCCGGTGACCCCCTCCTTACCGGTGAAAAATGCCCCTTAAAACACTAAAGCCGAACAAAAGAAGAAAATCGAGCAAAACCAACCCTCATGAGCGAAATCCAACCCTAAAACAGAGAGAAATCGAACTCTAAAGCTGCGAAAATTTGAGGAATTAATCTAATTTCATTTAGAGAGGAGAGATTGAGAATTTGAGGGATTTTCAAGGGGGATTTCGGGGCTAGGGGAGTTGGTTTCAGGGAAGGGGTGGTGGTTTAGAGGGAAGGAGAGGCGCTCCGGGGGTGGGGGAGGCCGACGGGGGTAGGGGCGCGGGGAGTGGTGGTTGGATGTTGGGGGAATATGGGTGATTTTTTAATAAAAATATTTTTAAAATAACTAACTATAGTTAAATATTTAATCAGTTAAAATTTGTCATTAATGCTATAATTGACTTAATATAAAAAATTTAGGTTTACCAAAGATAATAAGATTTTTTGCAATTTACCACTGAGAAAAATTTAAAATCTAGAGTGTTACCAAAGAGAATTTCCCAATAAATAATATAGTACCATTTTACTATCAATGATGAAATAATTCACAACTCAGTGGTACCAAATGTCATTTCCTATTATTTGTCCCTCTATTTAAAGTTTTACCATGTTATACAACTACATATACTGATATACATAACAAATTAACAACACTATATTACTAATTTCTTCTTCTAGGGTCACGATTAAATTAATTTGCCTGCGAATTGTATACACTACGTGAAAAAATGAAATTGACACCGGTTCAAACCCGGCTTAAGGCACCGGCTTGAACCGGTGCCAATGTGGGGGGTGCCAATAAGAGGTTTAAAAAGGCACCGGTTCAAACCGGTGCCAAAATTCGAAACTGGCACCGGTGCCAAAAAATCCAAAAAAAATTTAATTCACTGTTTTTGGCACCGGTTAACCGGTGCCAAAATATTAATTTTTTTTTTTACTTAAAAATTAAATCTGTATTAACCAAAACTGTATTAACCCAAAGTGCCAAAATATTAATATAATCAAATTTGTTCATTATATATATATAATAATAAAAAAAAATTACAGTATAGATAAAAAAAATTACAACAGCTAAATCAAAATAAAAAAATTACAACATATAAATAAAAAAAAAAATTTACAACTTCACAATAAAAAAAAAAAACCCATACAACATCTAAATCAATATACTTGCATGTTGATTCTTGGACGATTTACCAAAATATGGTTAAATTGAAACTTATTTAGCATTTTGCGTCGGTACTTAACTTATTCACCAAAATGCTGTCCACGTAGGATCGGGAAACTTTGTAATTTTTTAAAATATTTTTTCAGCTTAAAACCGCTACTTAAGGTAGCGGTTATAGTATATAAACCGCTACCAAGTAGCGGTTTTGGTATATAAACCGCTACTTCAAGTAGCGGTTTTAGTACATAAACCGCTACTTGAGGTAGCGGTTTTAAGCTGAAAATTATAATAAAAAGTTGTTAAACCTATAGGCATCATCCCCTCATTTGTGCAACCTGTAACAATATCATACATGTCATGTACACATCCACACAACTTATAAAATTAACCTATTTAAAACAATTCCAACCAATAACAAATGTCCACAAACAAACCAAAATATTTATAATAACACTAAATTAATTAAAGCAAGTATTACAAATATACCAAAATGAGTTCTGATGAAGCAAAATAATTTACATCTCCTACTCTAATGGCGTTTTTTACGATGTAATGGTCATGGTGTTTCAAAATTCGACTCATCCACTTCCAAAATGGGTGACGTAGTAAAAGTGGTTCGTCGAGCATAAACTAGTGGTGGAGATACAACTGTAGAAGAGGCTACTTGATGAGTAGAAATACCAGAATAATTATGTGGCAACATGGATGTGAACGAGGGTGAACTAGTGGCTGCAAGCAAAGAGGGTCGAGGAGTAAAAGAGGGCAGAGGTGTAGATGTAGTCAAAGTACTAGATGAGAGCATAGGTGTAGTAGTCAAAGTAGGAGAAGAAACTGAAGGTGAAAAACTTGTACTCAGTTGACAAGAAGGTCCACGTCGCGTCCTCGACCACGAAGAGCCCTTTGTTTCCGTTTGCGGGGTGCTTGAGAGTGCAACACTTTGTAAGGAGGAGCTAGATGGTGTGGAGGCCGAGGGCGACCGAAGAACTTCACTATCTTGGAGGAGGTGAGATTGATCGACCCTTGTTGATGTGTCAGCACAATATGCATTTATAGTGCGAAGCGATTCTAAAGTCAACGGTAATTCTTTCTCCATAGGCAAATCACCAACAACCTCAATAATACACATGCACCTTTGGGATATATCACCTAATGCACGTGACTGTAAAAAATAAAGAAAGAAAGAAAGAAAGAAAAAAAACAGTAACAACAAAAATTAGAAAAGTTTACAACATTTAACATGTTAAAAGAAAAATTAGAAACTTAAAGTTTACAACATTTAACATGTTAAAAGAAAAATTAGAAACTTGGTCAATCTTACCAACACCAACTCAGTCGAGGCAGGTTGGTAATGAGTAGAAGGGCGGATTTGTGTAGGGGGAGTGATGATGGTCCTAGTGATGCGCCGATATCAATTCATGTACTGTAAGTCTGTAACAATGTGCGACCACTAAATGGATGACCAGAAACTACTCTATCCTCACGCTTCCTCCATTCTTCTATATACTTTTCATGCACAATGTCATAGTTTTTGTTGCGCTTACGTTTATCCACCTTATGCAACTTATCACTTGTGTCAAGAGTCGTAGGGATCGTTTGCTCCAAACCAAACTGTCGCATAACTCGTCCTGGTAGATGGTACTCCACAATATCAAAGCAAATCAATGGCACAAAAGTGCGCATCACATTATGATCGGATCGACATATCTCATGCAAGAATGCAAGAACCTCCTCGGTATATGGTTGCCATGTCATCTACATTATGATGACTAAGTTATTACCATAAAAAAGAAAAAAAAAAACCACATTCACCGCTGTAGGGAATATTTCAAGCGTTAATCCCCTAGCTTGAACCCCACTGTGATCATACACTAAAGTACGGTGGCGTCCAAAGGGAAAGAAGATAGAGCAAAAGAGTCGCCAACAAGTTTTAGGAACTTGTAAACCGTTCACATGATGAAGGTTACACCCCTTAACGATCCTAGAGATCGTCAACTCCATAAGGTCTTGATACAAATAGGGTTCGGGGATGAAGGTACAAATCCAACCTAAAAGAGATTGAACCTGCCCTAATAATAGGCCTCTACTTTATTCTGATCGTATTCATGTGCGCTTTCTGACTAACATGCAATCAATAGGATTAACCCTAAACCTGCTTATCTATGTTGGTTGAATATTAATTCACAAATAAACTATTATTGGCAACCACTTGAATTATAATCAAAATTAACCCTAAACAAGATTATTAATATCTTATTAAGCGTGATTACAAGTACCAATTCCCTTTAAACATGCATAAAGAGGTGTGATCAAGCAATAAAAATAAATATATATCAAGAAACATAATAAATCATAATAACA